TAATTTCTCCGGAATAATCTGCATAGTGAACCCCTCCTGAATCCTGTGTCGAACGGTAGCGACTCAATTCTGTGACATTTAGCCATAATCGGCGTCGTGGATCTTGACTCAGCTGATGGTAGTGGTGGCGTACTTCGCATAACTTCGCAGTCCAGCCACTGAACGCTGGGCGGACAAAGAAAACGGCATGTGCGGTATTGTGACGGTCGACGTGACATACCTCGGAGAAAAGTTGCACTACTGTTGCGATGTTGTTTTGCTCTCGGTTTTGCTCAATTCTTGACATACTGAGCCTATTAAATTCACGTATGTACTTTCAAACATTCTGCATCGACTGGTGAAAATTTCGCGACGTTCCGGTAAAATTTGCGCTATAGGGAGCCCAGATACTGAAAAAGTTGCATTACTGGTTGCAACGATAGTATCGAAAAGAAACTTTGGCGTGATTCCCCTTATGCACAGCTGGGTATCAGCATTTCTAAATTCTAATGCGGAGATTGGATCCAATAAAATGGCACTGTCATGAAGAGATACCCTGCCAACTTATGAGGGCGATTCTCATCTAGAAAGGGGAGTTCAGACCCCTCGTCTAAATTGTGCATTTAAAACAGGGGCCAGTTCATCCAAAAGTGTGGTACATCATTTTGGCAGAAATGGCAACACAGTTTACAGTGCGTTTTTCGTTGTCAACCAGCTGTACTTAAACGTCTGCGGAGTGGCATCCACTGTTGGCTATTTCATCAGAAATCAGAGCGCAATCTCTACGTCTAACCTTGCCAGATACGAATACACGTCGGGGGACATGCGATATTTCAGAATTCCCGCAAATATCATTAGCGACCTCGACTTCTTCCTTAGCGAAGTCGTCGTCTGTAAAAGCAAAAAAAAAAAAAATCAGGCTGATGCTTATACACTTACAACGTTCCTTTCCCAACTTACCATTTGTCGAGTGACATCGGCCACCATAGATGATTTGATTTTCTGATGTACACCGGCCAGTGTATCCATGGTGAGAGTGAGGAACGTCTGCAGATTGCGCTGTAGCGCTTCCGGTAGATCCCGGAATTCTTCCGCACGTCGTTGGATCTTCGCCACATCCCCATCCATGGGTATCAAGTCCGTCGACTCCATTATCTGAAGGCAATCAGCACCAGCCAACCAGTCAGGTGAGAAACACGAACTTCCAAAGCAAGTTCAATCCTTCCCGAATCTTTCGCATCCATCGCCTCACGGACACGAAGCAGCCGAATGACCGCATCCCTATCTTTACCCACGGCCCGATTCGTGCGCTCATAATGTCTCAGAATATCCGCCGCCGTTCGCTCAATCGAACGCGCCTTCTCGTCGCTGCTCGGTTGTCCGATTGTGTTCCCAAGTGCTTGAGCAAGGCACGCAATGACCGTCGTGTAGTCGCCTGCCAAATTGTACAGTTTAATCGCCTCGGGGATTCGATCACTTTGTTCCGAGTGTTTCGCCGCACGGATGAGAATGTGCTCGTTATATTGTCGAACATCCTCAAGCTTAAGCAAGGGTGCATTTTGCTCGATAATACCGCTCTGGGAGGTGTTGAGAATAGGCCCACAACATACGGACGTCTACTCACAAATCGGGTCCCATCCGGTCGAAATCCGCCTACAAGCTCCTCCCAAGCAGCCCCAGTATTGGCAAGTACGATAATCCGTCGCACGAGCTCCCACGCGCTCTCAACTTGTTCACGCCCGACACCGCTGCCTTGGTCAGCATTGAGGCACACACAATACACATACTGCAAAGCCTCCCGTGCATCCATCTTAACGAACTGGCGTACGTAACGCCAGACAAGCGTGGATAGACTAAGTGACGGTGGCGAAACAGGCGATAAGGAGACTGTCAAATTCGAACGTTAACGTTAATTGTGTATCCACACGTAGTAAAAACGGTAACTACGTACGTGGTGTCATGTCTGACGTCTCAGCTCGTGGGGGTACGCGTAATAGTCCGTGGTATGCGAGCGCAATAGCCATGTGGACGGCTTCGATCTCAGTCTCTTGATGGTCCCACAGGGCAGCAACAGCCTACCAGACAATTTCATCAAGATATCGTTAAATTGTAATAGGAATGTGAGACATACACGTTCAAACTGTCCGCACATGAGCAGCACCCCAGCCCATACGCCCCGTTTGGCACCTTTCTGACCAGGCATGCCGTCGAAATGCCGTTCGCCGTAGCTGATAAGAACCTCGGCCAGACCACGCAAACCTCCGCCTTCCTCTTCGTCCACCTGAAAATGAGCTCGTCAATCACAGGTGTTAGAATCCCAGGATATATGGAAACATACCATAGCTAGTTGCAACCACAACCAGTCTTCTGTCGTAACTGTGACGTGGTGCACACTCCGCCTTGCTGGGTCAATTTTCCCCATCAGCTTGTACAATACGAGCTTAAATGGATCAGCGGTAGAAGAGTGGAGCATATGCGCATTGAATGTGGCGTGCACTTGGTCCCTGTGAGGTTTTGGTAATCTTGAGAGAATATTAGCATCATGGGAATCATAGCAGTCAGATCGTGACACTCACTTTCGATCAGCAGACTCGATCCAAGCCCTAAAATGGCTCAAGAATCCGGATTCGCGATGTTCGATGGCGTTCTGATATTGCATTGCTTCCGCTAACGCTTCTTGAGTGTGTCCTGTGCGTACCAAGTAGAACAATTTCGCCCAAATCGGCTGTCCCGAAACTAGCTGTAGCCCCAGATATCATCAAGCAACTTCGAGCGAGAGTGAAAACGGCTGCCAACCTCGATTCGATCTTCCCATTCTCCGTTTCGGTAATGCCTCACTAGCACAAACGCGCGGACCTTATTCGAGATACTTGGATCGCCTCCCAGCCTTGCCTCGATCGGACGCGCTTGTAGGGTACGCTCAAGAATATCCCAATACTGTTCTTCAAGCGCGTCGCTTGCGCCTCTCGCAATCTGCCTACGCAAGTCGACGGCTTCACGCGTTTCGGGGTCACCGAGGTATACACGCGCGTATTTCCGCTCGAAGAGTGGCGCGTTTAGAATGTGTGCACCGGCGTGCTCGAGAGGGGGTAGCGCAGGTGGCTCGGCAGTAATTTTGGCGAGGACATGGAAGTTCTGTGCTAATTGCAGGAGGCGGGGCTACAACCAACATAAGCGGAGAATAAATAAGGTTTTGAAACAAGGAGCGTACATCGGTGTTGGCTCCCAGTGAAGCATTCAAGAGAGCATGAACAATGGGGTAAGAAGTTCCGCGCAGTCTGGAAACATTCAGTTCCGAGATGACGCGGTCGTATGCCATCATTTTGCTCTGCATTTGCAAGCTGGGACTTGGACCAGTGCTGACCTGTGAAAATGTTCAGGGAAAGCCGGATGCAGCAAAAACAAACTACTCACAGCCAAAAGGTTCTTTCCGTGCATACTTTTCTTGAGCTCGGTGACAGCCATGTTGTCTCCGGCCACTCGGCCACCCAGCTGTTCAAATACGCGCCTTTTTCTCGATTCCCAATCTCGCCGCTGCCGCTCCTCAAGAACATGATAGAAGTCCTCTTGCGTCTCTCTTCTGCCCTCTTCAATTGTGGAAATGATGTTCTGTTCATGCGCATGACGAAGGTAGCCCGCGACATCTGTGTCTTGCAGCGCTTGCAGTGGCGTGAAAGTAGTTGACGTATTCAGATGTGCGATGGAGCTCGCGAGCGCAGGCGCATCAACGTGGGCCTGTGCCAGAAGATAATTCCTGCAAAAAGAATGATAAACTTAACAAGTTCCATGAAACACGGGTACAAGAGAAGAAGCCTACGCGCGATCATTGTCTGCTGACGTGCCCGGTTGGCGAGACACAAGCCGCCGCGACTGTGCTTCGATTTGGTCGAGAGAAAGATGGACCGAAGGGAGGTCGGGGCGGGAAAGATGGGATGTCAGTGCTTTGGACGATGTTAACAGCGAGGACAGGTCGGCCGCCATAGCTTTCTATAACTGGAATCCGTGGTAAAGATTGAAAGAACCAGCTTTTCGTAAGATATGCGCGTTGACAATACAGAATAATGCTACAAGCACAGAGCCTACGAACAACCTAAGCACAAGAGGATAGAAACGAGGTTAAGTCAAACAAGGCGCAGCGGAGCGATCGAGATTACATAGACGCGTTTGACGCGTGCCACACAGCGTTTGGAACTTGGATGCGCCGACGTCTCGCTACAATTGGCGGAGAAATGGCTAAGGCTCACATAGTATCTCGGACTTGGTGAACATTGAACGTTGGACTTAGAGCAGAATGCCTATAGGGTTTTCACAGGCGAATTACTGCAACAAACTCTATCAACGTCCCAATCTTCACTACCCCCTCGTCGTGACTACTATCATTGCATTGCAGCTGTCAGACATAGTGCGTACGAGACAACTCATACAAAAGAATTATTGTGTGCCGTGACCTTGTTTCCCGTAAGCAGCTCGTAAACGGCGACGTTTGAGGTGTAAGGAGGGCAGTTTAACAGACAAATGTCACTTAGATCGGATGCCACGCAAGCTAGTGCTTTAAAATTTTGATCACTTACGACTGTCGTGACTTACCACATCATACTGAAGATTCTACTGCACACAGTGAATGAGATGTGTCAGGTCAGGAAAATAGCTTCTTTGCTTTGGATAGGACATATACCCACATAAACTGCGTAAGATTGGAGTCTTCATCAATGCTGGAACCAATATCCAAGCTCCAAAGACTACCGTTGGGCAGGCATCATATCCTCATCTTGCTCAGCCTCACCTTGCTCAACACAATCGTCCTCTTCCTCAGCATTTTCGCTAGCATTCAAATTCCTATGGTACTATATTGAAGGAGTATTGTTAGCTCTCTATAGCGTCGAATGATCTACAAAATGGCGCACATGATATACGGCAGTGTAATAACCACCCCAATACATTGCCGTCAGGGCGCGCGAAAACGCCTCGTCCTGGTTAACTATTGGGCCTGTAGTACCTGGAACGTGAAACGACGCAGAATCAGGTCCAGGAATAGAAAAAGGTTGCAGCGGGACCGCGGAGCTGAGTGAAGCATCGTGAGTCGGGACAAAAGTATCGAAGTTGAGTGGGATAGAATCATCCCCTTTGCCATCTTGACCGGATTGCGAGTTGGAGCCGTTGACGAAGGCTAAATTCGCATTATTCGTTGCCTTGGTCGTCGCTTTTGATTCTGACATAAGAGGCGGTATGTTGTACCACCTAGTCGTGATCATAAGGTGACATGCAGGACAGTGGAAGTATGAAGCACTAACAACGGTGATCGCTTTGCAGGTTGCACGGCCTCGTTCTTCCAGTCACTTCCGGGACCATTGAGAGCCTTTGACAAGTACAGTAAGTAGATAACCCGTGATGATCAATTCAATTGACATGCCGCATATTCTGCCATTGCGGAATCCCAAGCATCCACAAGTGCAGAGTCATCCCAGATCTCCTGATGCGTCAATTCCCTGCTCTCATCCTCAACAGTCTCGCCTTCCTCTTCTCCGCCTTCAACAAGGTCTTCCGCATGGATAGTCGAGATATCGTCGTATATCATTTGCGGGGCATGGCTTCCAGGATCATCCCAGTGCTGGAACTGCTTCTGCGGCCGTGTATTGAAGAGGCTGTGATTGGGTTTCCGCTTTTTAGAGGGAGGCGCGTTAACAGGTGCTTGTGGGCCTATCTGAGATGTGATTTGTTGCGGCGCTGTGATATCGTCATAAGAGACCACAGGTCTCATGTGGTCCCCCATACTGCAAAATGGATGTGATAAGAGCTGTCGTCGACGTTCTGCTTGCCGAGTATGGATCAGGCCGATCTTGAGGAGCGCCTGTAGACGAGCGGCTAGTACTACTACGTATAGTATTAGTATTAAGCCTCGCGGGCTGGCCGCATACTCAGGCTCTACTTTAGGTTTGACTTAGAGTGCAGTAGGATGCATAGCCATTGACGCGTTGTTAGCAGCAAAGGCTATACCGACTATAACCCAATCGAAATGCATGCATTCAGACTGAGTCTCGGGCTGCTTCTATTATATCTCGTCGGTCAACATATTTGAACTCCGCAATTGAATCCCGGGAGCTCCGAGAAGGGAAACCGTTCAGTTCCTAATCCTCTTTCAAGCGCCGACAATTTGCCCGTTCTGTGGGCCCATCGTGTTCCGTATTTTTGTCTACTGAGCTCCCCCTGCTCTCGACATCGACGGACACGTCCTGCCATACCTTCCCCAGACCCGATACCCGCAGCGCGCTGCATATTGCCGTCGATTGCGCCCTGTGATTGCTAGAGTTTTTCGCTTGGTTTTGAGCAATGGCGACTCAACCCCGCCAGCAGCAGCTTCCACGGCTGTTCATTCCACAAAGCCTTAACGGCCAACAGCCTATCACTTATGCTGATAACCCGCAATTATTCTCTCCTGCGCTGCCGACGTCAATATCTCAGGGCATGCACCCACCACCATTCTTGACTCCCTCAAATTCCCTTCAGACACCGATGCAGCCCCATTTTTTCCCGCAACCCCCCGGGGCACCTGGGCGTCCTTCGATGCATAGAAGCTCGCCCAGCGTCGCGCAACTCGCCGCGGTAGGCATTTTCCCCCCACCAATTCCAATCACTCCTCTGGGTCAGACGGGTTTCCCAAATCAGATGCTGGGTCTTCAACCATTTGCCCCGCCATTTGTTCCAAGGAGCAAGAGAGCACCCAGTGTCGGTGTGGGTGGTCCTCCGAAGGCTGTTCTTGGTGGACCACAACGTAGAGTGAGCCCGTTACCACCAAGTGCTCCAGGTGTATCACAAGCCGCGCCCGCGATCAAGGGAAAGAAGGTCGTAGTCCACTTCCCTCAAGAGACGGTGCCAGGCGAAGGTGATCAGCCACCGACGCGTCTGTCATGGGCTCGGACGCCGTTGCCCTTCTCGTCAATCCCACAGGGATCGGAAGTACTCCCGCCGGAGACCACATCGACGGAATTATTTCCACCCGATAGCTGGCGATACCACTTGCCTGATACTGTGGATGTCTTTCTTCCTGGAAAGGTTCGTCTTGTCTTCCAAGGATTCAACTTTTGCTCAACTCTGATTTGACTTATTTCCCGTTGGCGTAACTACCTTGCTATCAGAGCGCATGGGAAGACATAAAGCGGAAGATTATTGAGGAGAAGCTAGAGAAGCTGGGAGTTGAGCGGGGAACAGGTAGTTCCGTACCCCATATACATGCGCCCCATGCTCGAGCTGCGTCGGTACGTTATGCGCGTGTTCGACACGTTTTCTGCGTGATCTGATCTCGTTATGTAGATATCATCCCCAGCAGATCCAGCACTTCTCTTCTTCAAGCTCAATAAACTACAGCAATCACAAAACGTGTTGTCATCGACCTCGCCACAGCCTCCTCTTTCTCTTTCGACGTCACCTGCTCAAGTTCCTCCACGGTTTCAAGGCAGGCACGGACACAGCATGTCTCTTGCGCAGCCGCCCTCGTTTCAATCACACTCGCCTGTGTACAATCCTGCCGCCGCATTCAATCCTTTCGGGCCTAGTGCGACACTTGGTTCCGATCAAGTTTTCACGCGAGTTTCCCCCGCGCCTGCTGCGCCTATACCTGCTGTAATTGAAAATATTCATGCACCTCAGGGGCGAGTTCCTGCCAATTTCGCCACTCTTGCGCCCCCTCAGCCGACATCGAGACCGGAGAGCAGACCAGACTTCTTGCGTGGGTTCGGCTTGGATGCTACAGAAGAGGAGGAGGAACCGGAAGAGGAACCCCCTGCGCAGACGGGTCTACGCGATGATGCCGGATCTGAGGCGACCACTGAAGCAGCTACAGAAGCGACGACACTGGAACAAGTGGATGAGGTGGAGGAAGATGGAGCTAGCACGGTAGCTCAGAGTCGGATACACTCGCGACATGTCTCGCGTCTATCCGCAGCTTTGTCTTTACGATCTGTAGGGGGGCTCACGGAAGCATCAAGCTCTTCATACCCGCTGGCTATGTCACCACAACGTGAGGTCGTGCCTGTGCGTAGTCCGTTGGGCGCGGATACAATAGTGGTCGACGACGCCGATCAGTTCGACTCGGACGCCGTCGGAGAGTGGACAGGATCAGAAGATCTGCGCACAGCTGCAGAAGCATCTGAGGATGAGGTAAGTAGACTTATTCTGACGAGTAATTGCCTTCCTTAACATCCTTGTTTGCATATTCAGAGTATCGGAGAGTGGTCCAATCCTTCAGACGAAGAACGAGCTCGTCAGGACCGCGTGCAGCGCCGCATACTCCGTCGCGCCGCGCGACACGATGTGGATAGTCCGAGGAGATTGCCCAACTTCCCTCGTCCCCCTGATGTCGCACCGGCTTTTGCTGAAGCCGAAGACATTGTATCCAACCCTAGCGAAGAGGAACACGGACAGAATGCATTTGTATATGGGGGTCATCACCGGGGACACTTCCCTAGACCATCATCTAGTGGACACGGGCGACCTCTGCCTCCTTTGCCTGAAACTCGACCAGGTTCAGCACCATATTCGTATCATGATCCCGCGTTGGCGCACTCAAGAGAGGCGTCTGAGCAATACTTCAACCCTGGGGGCCTTCGACCGCCTCCACCTTCGGCTCCAGCTCAGTCCCGAACCGAGTCACTCAACCCGCTTGCAAAGCCCTTCGTGTTCGGTGCTCACCGCCAGTCAGGTTCTTGGACCAGCGTGCTTAGTTCACAGCCTGCACCGATAACTACCCCATTCAGTATTGGTCATGCGCGGGCGCCTTCATTTGGCAAGCCTCTTAGTGCAGCCGCACCTGAGTTTAAGCCGACCGGGTTCACGTTCCGTCCACCGCCAGGTGTTCCGCAGCTGACGTTCTCGTCCCCACAACCTCCTCGTCCCTTGCCAACGCCCCCTATCATAGCAGTGGATTCCCCAGACAAGGCTGTCCTAGCGCGGGAGTCACAAGGAAGAGAGAAGAGGCAGCGTCGTGGATCGGTCGTTAGTTTGGATGGTCACGATGAGGATGGAGTCAGTACGATGTCCTCCTTCAAATTCCCGCCAGATAATGTTAGGGCGGTATCTGCGCCGACGAGTCCTCCTACTGCTGCGTTGGGTGTGTCGAAAGATTCATCTCTAAATGTTGGAGCCAAGCCGTTCACCTTCTCAGGCTTCTCTCAGATGCCAAGCATCTCACAACAGTCCACTACCCTCCACAATGGTGACGAAGAAAATCAACCTCCTGCTGAAGGCTCTGCCGCGGAGAGAACAGATGTCGAGTCTGCGAATGAGTTACCATTCCCCCCCACCATGAAATCGAAGAGGGCGCCTATTCCGTTAGACTTCAAGCACCCAGTGTCCACAAATACAGTGCCTGCAGGTTTGTTCAAAGCCCTCGTCAATACTGATGGCGATGACAGAACACGTCGTACAGTCCGATCTAGACTTAGCTCAAGAGATATCTTCGAACACAGTCCCCGGCCGTCCTTGGATGATCTTGATGTCCCTCCGATCTCGCACAGGATCTCACGCAACCGTCTCTTCACTGACCCAGGCTTCCGAGAATCGTCGCCACCACGTGGCATGTACACGCCGGACGCTTCTGCTCGTCGTTCTTCTAGGCGCCAAGATAGCGACACGTCGTTGTCAGATATATCCATCGCCCCTGTTAACCTTTCGAGGAGGATTGAAATGCAAGAGTATGAACGCAGGATGGAGGTTCTTCTAAACGAGAAGTTCAAGGACATCAAGCGGATGCTGTCCGACCTCAGGCAGCTGCATGAGGGCCAATCACTTAGTGCATCTACAGAGGAGAAGATTTCCGAGGTCGTGTCTTTGTTCCGCGCGCAGCTTCAGGCTTCGGCTGCGACAAGCTTAGAGGACAGTCAAATGGATGCCCGCGGTGAACTTGATTTCGAGGTAATTAAGGATATTATAGATCAGAAGCACATGGATTTCCGTGCGCTCATCCAGAGGGACCTTTCTCAGTTGATGGGATCCAGGAACCAGCAGGACGCCCATTACGTGCGATTCGCAGAAGACCTTACGGATAGGTCTATGAACGCTGTTGTCTCTGTCACATCACAACTAGCATCCCGTATACAAATGATGGAGCAACCGAGATCGTCTGCAGAAAGGGATGCCATCATACACGAACTCTTGAACGCATTGCTACCGCATCTGGCCACATTACGTGCTGAGCCGATCGATTATGAAGGCCTCACCGCACGGCTCACTCAAGCTGTCAAGCCTCATATATCACAGCTCATTGACTTGGCCTCCGATAAACGCGAGACAGCAGGCCTCATTGTGGACAAGCTCGTGCCCATTCTGCCTACCCTGCACGGTTCAGTACCCGAGTTTGATGTAGAAGCTGTTGTTGGTAGGCTTACTAGTGAAGTTCGGAAGATCGTGGCCCCTCTCGATGCCCATGAAATCAAGGAACAGGTTTCAGATCTTGTTGTAGAGCGTCTTGATTCTCGTCTTGCTGTTCGGGACAGAGCCTTCAACGTGGAAACTTTAACTGGGAGCGTGGTTCAGAGTGTTCGCGACCTCCTGGCGCCTATCCATGAGCTGCAGGCCGCCGTCGATGTACTAGGACAGAAGGAGCTCCCAGCTATCCCCGAAATTAATCTCGACTCGGTTCGTGATGATGTACTCAAACTCTTATCTGACTTGCCTCAGCGTCTGGGTGCCGCAACGGAAGCTTTGGATAGCGCTCAAGTGGAATTCAAAGGCCAGATTGCGAAGTTCGAACAAGACTCACCTCTCACCAAGAACATTTCGCAGTTAGAGAGCATGCTTGGTGACATGTCGCGTGAACAGCAGAAGCTGGTATCGCAAAATCAAGAGTTCTCCGACTTCTGTCAGGATATCGTAAAGCACATCGAAACGTTGCCTGATGCTATGGTCGAAGCCACTAAGATTCTTCACAATGCCCACAGTGACTTTGCCGCTCGCGACACCTCTACAAGAGATTCGGAAGAAATCCGAAGACTTATGGCAGCTAACGCTGAGTTTCAAGTGCAGCTTGCGAAGGCCCGTGGAGCGCATGGTCAGGTTCGCGTGGAGAAGGACCTTCTTGCGGACCGTATTAGCGCTGTTGAGGCAGAGCGGAGTCGGTTGCTATCGAAAGTGGAGAGTCTGCAGGATTCTATATCTGCGAGGACGACAGAAGCTCAAACTAGCGAGGCAAGGAATGCAGAATTAGAGGAAGCACTTGCCCGTGCGCTCGATCGACTGAAGGCTGCAGACGTGCAAACGCAGACAGACTCGGCGCGGATATCCCAACTCGAATCTTCTAACCGTGAGCTTGTCTCGGAGAAGCACCAGCTGAAGTCTCAGGTATAGTGTGCCTGCTACTGTTTTGACAACTCACTTACCTTCCGAGTCAGGTTGATTCACTAAATTTGCGCGCTACCTTCCTTACCAGTGAGAAGGATAATGTTCAGGAAGAGCTTGTCGCTCAGCGTAGAATCAACGAAGAGCTCATGTCCCAGCAAAGTCACTGGGATGATCTTCGTCGTGCCTCAGAGCAGATACAGGTTCTGGCGAACCTCGTTGGCCAAGTTGATACAGAAGAAGTCAAAGAGCTTCGTCGCATTCGCGATCGGAGCAAGGCTCTTGAGAGTGATCACGCGGTCCTTCAGCGCCGTTTGAAAGAGGTCGAGAGCAAGATGGCGAGCAGCGAGAGAATCGCTCAAACGTCTCGTCAGAGTCTTGCGCAGGCGCAGCAACGCGCAGCTGAATGGGAGAAACGTGCCAAGGAGTATGAAGGCGAAGTGGAGGCTATGCAAACCAAATTGGACAATGCTGAACAAGCACAGGCACGGTTGGATGCGGACTATTCGTTGGTAAAGCTACAGCTGGATGAACGGGATGCTGAGGAGCGCCTCGACAAGGTGAGTTGACCCCTGCTTACACCGTACATTTTCTAAAGTGCAATTCAGGATCGACAGAACAAGCTGCGCGACCAGATTGCGTCACTCGAAGCACACGTCGCCCGTCTGCAAGCAGAAACAGATCAGGCGAAGAAGGCCGCAGCCACAGTTCCGGTTGCTCAGCCTACCGCTCGCTATCACCTGAACGGCAACGGTATCGTCCGTTCACACCAACCATCACGACCGGACTCGCGTGCGAGCACCGTCTACGCTGAAAGCCGTGCCAATACACCCACTACTAAGTACAACGGCGTACGTGGACCAGCCATTCGGGAATCGACGCCGCCCCAGCCCTCTGTTTGGGATTCGATTCATGCTCCACGGCCCGAGGATGCCATCAACATGCCTATAACGCCCAAAACTAAACGGGCACCGTCGTATTACGCAAGACAAATACCTTCGCCTACACCTAGCAACGTGTCCGTTGCACCCACTCTGGGCGACGACGGGTGGTGGGCGTAGTCTGCTCCTTCACAGGTGGAAATTTCTTTATTCGCTTATTTGTCTGTTTCACTGGATTGGAATGCTGTCATTTACACTGTTTTCGCTCCGGGTTTGCTTCAGCTCATCTAAACACCTATCTATTGGTCTGCTCCATCATTCTGCAGTACATACATCCTATGCATACATATGATACTCATACCCTGGTCTCAATTCACGCCTATCTACAAGACTAGTAAATACCCCACGCCACATTCCTCGTGTCATCTAGTTAACCCAGTCCTCGCTCCATTTCTCGTTCTCGTGCGCATTGACGCCACTGGCACACCGGCACCTGGTACTTTGCTCATGTCAAACTGTTGTACACACCCGCTGTACTTGCATGTTGCGGTGTTCTGAATACACTTCACTACGAGCACTCACCAAAATTCTTAGGGCTTCACTACTCTTCATCCGTGATGAGGCCTAGCGAAAATGTGCAGGTACACAGTCAGAATATTGTACAGGCAACGGGTATACATGGCTTTAAAAGGCTGTCTGGAGCTCCAGGGCAATATTCAATAAGTATGGGATTGCCAAGACCCAGGGTTCCCAGGATGTTTCTTAACTTCCCGACACAGTGGAAGTTCATCTGGAAAAGTCTTCCGCCCTCGTTAAAAATATCAGATCGTTACGCCGCTGCGGGGTGAGCCTATAACATTCTGCACAGTGGTGCCACGAGGGACTGTCAGCATCGATGAGCGCAATGATCTCCACCGCTTTCCCAGACCGCAGTCTAATGTCGCACTCGAACTAGAGAAAAAGTACGACCCGCACCTGTACTCTCATTCTCGAACACACGGATGATGACTCCATCGGCCCATTCAAGGAATCCATCGTCTGCACCTACGCCGGGCACATACGTGACCACCGTCGTAGTTGTACCAGCAAACCTGTTAAAAGCAATGAGTGTATAAACTATCAACAAGATCCCCTAGATGTACTTCTTTATATGCGTCTGAAGCTCCTCGGTGAACTTGTTGGCATTATAAATAAATGTTGAGCCCTTCTCTATTGGAATGGCTCGTATTCCCGCTGCGCAGCTTGGATGTGGAACGCGGTCTGAAGCCATTTACGATGCAGACGCCACCGATCTCCATAATGGAGTAGTGACGTGGTAGGCTCGAAACCCATCCTGCAACAAGCGTATGTAGTCAGCAGCGAGCCTCTATGGATAAAATCATTCGATTACAGTTCTGTAAAGATAACAGTCCTTGGGCGATCAGAATATATCGAACTCCTCTTCTCCATCAAGTCGTGAGCCATCGGCAGAATCAGCTACCAATACCAGCTTGCGGAACACTTCCAGATAGAATAAAACTCCTAAACAATAGCAATATTTTTCAATAAGTAGCTGAGGATAACGAGAGCTAGTCATACCATATCCTGTGGCCCACTGTTTGAAGGTCTTGTGTCGAAATTCCAAAGGAAGCTGATGAATATTTCCAAACAGTGGGAGCCGCCTAGAACCTGGAGGCAGTGGACAGACCTTTCTTCTGATACTCCAATTGTGAGAGAAGAATACAAGAAGGAGTAGAAGACAAATGGCAGTGAGTGAGGGTCAACCTCATGGAGTTTGAACATAATTCAGCAATGTGAGAGTCAGAGGAGACAGTACTGCGCTGTATTGATAGTATACCGAAGACGCTTGGAATAGTTATGGAGCAGTAAAAACAGCAGGCACTCTCACGCGGCTGTTACGGAATGCATATGAATGAATAGCTGAGGCATAAAATTATCGTACAGAGTATTCTCGTAGTGCAATGCAGCTTCTAGCGGCGATGAGATGCTGACGTCTGGCTTACGCACAACTGTTGAGCGAGAATCAAGGTTCGCGTACGACAGACGTCCTCACCGAGGTATATAAGGCAAAACTGGTCAAGGGATTCGACGAATCCATTGAGCGACAGCCTATTTGGCGCTTCCCCATTACCTTATTGAAGAGAGCTTATGTCCAGTACTGGCAGCATCTATGGGTTGACCTCGGTCTATGAGCAATAGTGCTCCATGATGATTGATATAATTATGCACGTACAAGCTAATCTTGAAGTCCCATTCAAGGTTGGCTCTCTAGAAAATATTGAAGTAGTAAACAAACTGCGTGAACGTACCTTTCAAGTTGATTACCTCTAGAAGATGCCAAAGTAGAAATTAAGGTAGAAGATGATGTTCTGAGTTAACAAATCTCAATATGCATTGACGCAGACAGTCCGTGGTCTCCATATATCTGCAGGAGTTTAACTCAGCGATACATATACCCTTTGTGCAGACATTCACATATCCATCGCGCAGCACAACGTGACCATTCTGAATATAATGCATTACAATAGTTGATTGACGAGCGATTTGTGTATAGGACGGGGTCGTCCACAGGCAAAGTGAGTAAATAAGGTGAGATGTATCATGTATCCATGATGAACCACCGGCGCATGTATATTCTATCGGGATCAAGAGTGTGTCTGAGGTGATGACCAAATCCAGCCCTTTACAACTTCTACTGCTTCTTGTGGATCTTCTGGCAACCTGTGGATAGGTGCGTAAATATATGAGTACCATGGTGTATGATAAGACTGGGATGGCAGCGACACACGTAATCTTAGGCCCCCAACGCCCCTCCCGGTCTTGTTGGAAGAATCGCGGAACAAATGTCTCCCCGCTCTCCTCGCGTTTCCTACGCAGATCGCGCTGCGACTCCTCCACTGCCGTCTTCGCCTCTGTTGCCGCATCCATATTCTTCGCCAAGATTGCCTGCGTCAACTTCGACCATAGGCTGCGCGTATCAGAAAAGACCATCACACAGTCACCAGCACATCGGCAAAGACCACCAACGTCATAAGTCAGATTTGCGCAAGCATAATAATTGTACAACTATGGACGTACCGCCGCGATTCGTTCGGGTCCTGCTCGTCCTCCGGTGCGACCCACTTTGGTGCAACCTGGTCACCATGCTTGTAAACATCAAACAGCACACGACGTTCGCCTGTCTGCAAAATGGCCACCACACACAGCGTCAATACCCCGGTCGAAGGCTGGCCAGACGACGGGCAACGTACTCTGCTGCTCTTGTGCTCCATAACGCCGCTCCACTTCCCACTCACTTCTCCCGTATCCGTATTCCCGCGGCGTATTCGTCCCTGGATCGCGTTATAGGTGCCAGAGAAGTAACCCTGCGCGGGCAGCGTGTCAGTATGTGGAAGACGAGCCGTGTACTTGTAAAGTGAAGGCGTAGAGACGCGGACATTGCACGCACCTTCGTCTTGAACTGCAGGTCCGCGCCCAGCGCGTTCCTGTCGTTGCGTGCTGTGCACGAGTCTCCGAGCTCAAGTACCATCTTTCCCCAAAGGATCCCGCGCGCATACATGTTGGGCATCGAGATTACATATGCTGCAGGGCGAAAGTGATAGGGTCAGCGTGTGCTTATATTCACACCGATCTCGCCGCAAGGAAGCTCTCGAAAGCTGTTGGTACGGCAAGAACCGCGCCAGAGAAGAAAAATGAATGCAGAATGAAAGATGAAGTACGACATACGTCCGTCATCCGGGCGGCCCATGAGGTAGATCCGGTTTTCACCCTCCATCGTGGTCGAGACGCTGTTCCCAAGGAATTTGGACTTGGGCCGCAGTTCCCCGACGATGGCAACCTTGTTTGCGGGTGTAACATAGTAGAACGCAGACACTGGAGGATGGTGCGACACTACGCGGCCATAACACAAAGCGAGTGAGTGCACGGGCGCCAACGCGGACGCCAAGTGGTTCGGGGGCGGCGGGTCCGACACGACGGAGCGGGAGTGTCACCAGACATGCGATCGACGAGTTGACGCGCGCGAGTTACGGAGAGGGGTTGGAAGATGGTAGAGGAAGGGGTAACGCGTTAGTGAGGAACGCGGTGGGGTGTGTGCGAACATACCTTGCTCGGCGATGTAAAAGCCCTGCGAGCCATCGGGATAGTCGTATCTACAACGGAAAAATTCACCGAGGATAGGGTTGTATCTGTGAAGCACACAATCAGGATAGTGGATGTGCAGGCTGCAAGAGTGGCGCAGGGACGCATACGCACGGTTTCTTCACGCCCTTGGGCTTGATGTGCCATCCGGCAAGGTAGTACTGCAGCACGCGGAGAAAACGCTCCCCAGGATCATCAAACTGCTCCGCACTAACGAGACAGGTGATCTAACCCCTCGGAGAAAGCGAAATGAGAGGAGAGAGACACACCCGAAGATGAGGTCCGGATGGGACATGAAGTCGGTGATGCGTTCAAGCATGCTGCGGGGTTCGAGCACAAACGTGGGGAAAGTAACCTTTGAAAGGTCCATACCAACCCTGTGCACGCGACACCATCAATGTTTGCAACAGACGATCGTGGGCGATGGAAAGCGAGCACAGACCTGAGTTGTGAGATCATCGACTTGATGATGGAGCCCTCTTCCTCGTCCCTGGTGCAGTCGTCAAAGTCAGCATCTGGTGCAGTGGCGTAGAAGAACATCGCGAGGGCGCAAAGTGCGTCACAAAAGACAGGAAGGAAACAGGTATGAGCGGGCGAGGAGAGAAAAGAACAGACAGGATAGAGGTGTCATCTGGTTCTGTATCTTCAGGAATTTTGTCATCGTCGGAGGACCCGCGTGGTTTGTGAACCCTGGAGGTCGCCTGATTGAAGAGACCCATCATGGTGTGTGTGAAGCAGGAGGCAGAGAGGAGGAAAGGGCGTGTCGCTGATCGGCAGGAGCTATAAGTACTAGTGACTGGTGTAAAAGGCACGTCGCGTGAAGAGCGAGTAATGTCGGGCTGACGCGTATAAGGACACGAAGAGCAGTGCGGGTGCCGCAGTGCGCAGGCTGGATTCTGATGAGAGAAAGCGGTTCGCCGCAGCGAGGGTGCGGGCAGTGAAATGGGCAGTGGCAGAGGTCAGGAGAGGCGAGCCCTTGCCGCGCTGATGCGGCGCGCCACCGGCGCCTCCAGCTACATCCTGGCCACGCTCCAGCTCGGCTCCCTTCAATTTGCTCTCTCCTCTCGCGACGGGCTACCTTTAATGTCCACTCACCGTCGTGATATCCGCCTCCCAACTCTGCCAGCGCTGACGCTGATGAATTGATTGCTAATTGCACTGGGTTCGCACAGGGGATACCGAGTTTCGGTATAGCAAGTCTGTTCACTGCAACAGTGTTTGAGGTGCTAGTTGTGCAGATTCGCCCATATTCCCTTCTCCAAGGATCCACACACCGCAATTTGCTACGTGCACATTCAGCTTGTTATACTTTTCGCAGGCGAGTCGCTGGTGTGAATATATTCCAGTTCCGCTACTCTCGGACTGGTCCACTCGGTCTCAAGCCTCCGGATGGACTTAGAGATTTTTTTGTCAACGACGCGCGCCAAACTCGGATGTGCTGTTGTCCTGGACTGACACCGCCTAGCCCCTGCTGTGTTTAGGGGATCTTCTGTGGCCTCGACGCTGCTTGTGGCACGCACATGGCTTCATCTCCGGCCAGCTGGCATGGCTCGGTCTTTGCTTGTTCTCTTCGCCACCTCATTCCGATGCCCGATTTGCACATGCGTGCGAGTGTATTGACCTGCGTTATTGTTGGCTCACTACAGTGTCATTTTGACTTACATAGTAAGTATTTGTTACACACACACGCCTCCGGTTACATAATGCCGGCGCGTAATCTTTCTTGATACGCTTCGCAGGACACATCAGCAAGGCCTCGTTACATTGTTTGCCTTGATGGGCAGTCGCGGACCGAGTGAGATCAGTATCTTGGCTACTTCGATACGAGCTCTTCGATACGAATGGAGACTTAGTACATGGAAATGTAGATTCCTATCCCTATTTTCATCGAATTGGATGTTATACTGCCGCATTCCTTTTATCGGCATGTGTAGCGATCTCATTCGCGGAGTAATCCCTCACGATATAGCAAATAAGACTTATTTGGTATCAAGATTCAAGCTCTAGCAAGCTAGTCAGAATATGCGAAGACGCATCGGATGATAGATGACCACGAGTATTGAACCTGCGGACGCAAACGAACGCAAACGGGTCTAAGAGAGATCAGGTGCGTTACATTGATTCTGAACTTTCAAAGTCATTTGAATGAGCTGCTGACGCCACATTGACAGCGTTCACAAGGTGCCATTCGCTTGGTGCGGCGTGAGAGCATCCAGTGTCCAATCTGTTTGGTAATAATAACTGCCGTGTCTCGTCTGAGTGTACCTTGACCCTTGAGCAGACACAACCATGTCTCCTCAGCAGGACCTCGGGGCTACTCTCGCCATCGTTTCCTTCGTGCTCGTCCTCGCTGTATACATGCAGCATTTGACGAAAGGAGGACCTATCAACTTCCAGGCCCGAAGCGTCTTCCAACCTTAGGAAACATCCACCAGCTCCCTACGAAACACCAACATAGAACCTTAACAAAGTGGGCCGCAAAATACGGTAAGAGCGATTGGTTTGGCGGTGATTTACCTTCTGAGCGACATGTTTGCCCATAGGTGATGTATTCTATATCCAAATCTGCCACAAACCCGTCGTATTGGTCAACACTCTGCAAGCGGCTCACGATCTCATGGAGAAAAGAAGCTCGTTATATTCTGATCGACCAAGAACCGTTGTGTTCACCGAATTGTAAGTACATGTTTCTCCTTCTCGCACCGATGGATTGATTTGTGATCCTGTGGCAGAATGGGCTTTGAGCCTACAACGTCGATCCTGCCTTATGGCAATCAGTGGCGCTTGCATCGCAAGTGGTTCCAGACTGCATTCCGGACAAAAACCGCACAGTCGAGGCATCGGCCCCTCCAGCTCAGGGCCGTCCGCCATTTGCTATCGGCGCTGCTAGACTCACCCGCCAATTTTCGAAATAATGTCAAAAGGTCAGCTCAGTGTGCAGCAACTGTCAAGTATTGACTCTGGTTCAGATTTGCAGGTGGCATGATGTTAGAAATTGCTTATGGGCACACTGCAACTATGCTGCTACTCATTGCCAATATTTCGGCCACAATGGACATTCGCAAGGCCCGTGATGAAGCGGGCAAAGAAATCATACCTGATTCGGCCTTCATGGATGGTGCTGTCTGGTGCGCTACGACGTACTGACGCATAGTTTGGTATGCTGACTAGGGTGCATGGCTAGCCATCCTAAGCCATTCAAGTGCGATATCCGGCCGCGGTCGCAGAGGGCAGTGGAAATGATTGCCCTCGCCAACGTTGAGAGCTCCTGTCAAATCCCTTACACAGAGCTGGAGAGACTTTCGAAAGTATAGTGTATCTATGCAATACATCCAACAATAGTCCGCGGCAGATGCCTACCTTTTTTTTTCGCTGTCAACAACTTGAAAAGATATTTGAATTAGACGCCTGACGGATCTTTTCCTTATTAGACAAACTCTGCGAGATTCAGAGAGTAGGAAAGACAATGCTACGGCTCGACGACAAATGGAACTTGCTGACATGCGTCTTAGTGGTACTATCAATTCAGTGGAATTGTACCTATTAACGCCATAGGATATGACGGCACGTCGTGCAACAGTGCTTTATTTCGTCCCAGTGTTGTTCGTCCGTGTCATGGTATTTCTTGATTTATTCAGTGCCAAGTGACAGCTCCGCATCTGCGCCTCCGATTGCATACTGCAGGCGCGTTGGACGCCTTGCATGCTCCGTTGTGCGCGTGGCCTCAGAGTCGCACGAGCTACTGACTACGCTGGGCAGTCGCAGATCCGGTCAGATGTGGGCCGGGCTGATTCGAGCGGAGAAAATGCGCTCGATCATACTACCTCCCATGCAGGTCCTTTGCCGCAGCTGGCACGAGGTCGTGATTTACTCCTGCCGTCTGTCCAGATAGAATACCAAAAACGATAGCGTAGCGTGTGCACGCCGCTTATAGTACAAGCGTCAGCCCCAATCAAACTTGAGTGCTTCGAATTTAGTTCCATGACGCTACTAGATGTATATATCAAATTCATGGTAGCTGCCTACTAACACAGTCTACTATACAGTAAATCAGATAAGCTAAGACAAGTTGCAGTTGGAGTACTTTTCACTAATACTCTATTGGATGTCACTAGGAGCGCAGGATTCACTGCTACTACTAGGGATACTAGGGAACTTACGGCGTGTCCAACTTGAACATCTACGAGCAACTTCACTGCTACTGTATATCACGAGGTCGATCATAGTCAATGGTGCGTTTAAACACCGACGAGCACAACAGCGTATCAATCATGGAGTGGAAGCGTCCAATATCCTATACCTGAGTATTGCCGAAGTTTATATATTCCTTGGCTTAAATAGCTTGGGCGGCCCAATGAGTGGATCTTTCTGTTGGATTGTTCCTCTCAGCGGCCGGAGGTTATTTTTATGGGCTTGGGCCGGGGGTGTTGGGGCTAGAAGCGGCGTGTCCCATTCTCAATGCAATCCTTTGCTCCCGTTATCCGTACATCTGGATTTCATGCTGACTCCGTGAGATTCCCTGCCATACTGCAGCCTTATAACTACCACAGCCATCCTCTGATCGAGGGTCTCTCATTGCGAGCACTACCGTTGAGCTATGCCTTTCCTCCGTGAATTTGAGGCGTTTCTCACCCCCATTTTCTTCCTGCTCGTTATTTCCATCTTCTCCCATAGTTTAAGGAGAAGTATGAGTGCATATCCCCTCCCTCCTGGCCCTAGACGGCTACCACTGTTGGGTAATGCTCACCAACTTCCTTCGGAATTTCAACATAAGACCTTCAAGCAGTGGGCTGCAAAATATGGTATGATCAGCACTCGTTGATTATAATGATTCGTCATTGACCCTGTTCCAATTTGAAGGAGACATATTCTACCTGGAGGTTTTCCGCAAGCCGGCAATAGTGATCAGCTCTGCGCGGATAGCTCACGATTTGATGGAGAAGAGGAGCTCAAAGTACTCTGATCGACCGAGGACCGTTGTCTTTACGGAGCTGTAATAGAATAAGTTCTTGTGCAGAATCTCACTGCTAACTCTATGTTCTTTTCGCAGAATGGGCTTGGAGCCTACCGCGTCAATTCTGCCCTATGGCAATCGATGGCGTCTGCATCGTAGATGGCTCCAGACGGCATTCCAGACAAAAACTGCACAACGGGACTACCAGCCCCTCCAACGGAGAAGGATCCGACAACTGTTGTCTGCACTATTGGATACACCAGAAGACTTCAGGACGCTTATAAAGAAGTATGTTTGGCAAGATGTGCTGATGGTAGCGTGTCATTATTAGCTGACTAGCCCCTCAGGTCTGCGGGTGGAACCATGATGGAGGTTACTTATGGACACATCGCAACAGCCGCAGATGATGGGTTCATCGAATGGGCTGATGACATCATCACCCGAATGCAGGAAGCCGGGAGCGCGGGTACAACCATCACTGATTTCTTTCCTATTTGTGAGCTGTTTGGTCGCCTCTGAATATACTTGAATCAAACTAATAAATGTCTAATCCCAGTGAAGTACGTACCAGAATGGATGCCGGGAGCAGGGATCAAGCGAAGAGTGTCTGGTCTGCGATCTGAGGTTCAACAATTACATGACGTTCCATACGAGAGAGTGAAAAGTGCAGTTGTAGGTTTCAGTGCCGTCAACGTGAACGCTTGAACACTAATTTGTATTCAGGATGCTGGATCGGCCAGAACATCATTCCTGGCTTCCCTCATTGAGAAGATCTCAGCAGACAATGAGCTGACTCAAGACGATGTATTCAATTTGAAAGGTGTTGCGGGCGTGGTCTACATAGGTAACTGATTCATCTTTCTGATATTGGTGGGAGGTATTGAATATGTGTCTCGCTTTAGCCGGTGTTGATACGGTTAGTTGCATAGGATGTCTCATTGATTCTCAACTGATAATCATCGTAGACGGTCACTGTCGTGGTAACTTTTATTCTGGCTATGGTCCTTCATCCGGAGGTATACAAAAAAGCACAAGCTGAGGTCGATCGGGTGATTGGCCAATCACGATTGCCTGACTTTGATGATCGACCTTCAATGCCTTACCTTGATTGCGTTTTGAAGGAAACTTATCGGTATGTTATTTGAGACAAAATATCCCTCCTCAATTACACTTTTCAATCATACCCACAGCTGGGGGTGCCCCTTACCTCTTGGTACGTGATCACCAGTGTCAAGTTACCAATGTGATGTTTACATATCCTTGAAGTGGTGCCACATCAAGTCATACAGGATGACGAGTATCTCGGATATCATATTCCTGCTGGAAGTATGATTATTCCAAATGTCTGGTGAGTTTATTTTTTGACTGTTCTAAGTGACCATGCCAATGACCATCCAGGGCAATGACACGGAATCCAGATGTATACCCTGACCCCGACACCTTCATACCGGAACGATTCGAAAACCTGGATGACGGGACTGCATCTCAACTAAATCCGAGCGAGCTCATTTTCGGGTTTGGACGACGGTTGGCATTCCGCCTTTGCGCAACGCATCGCCTAACTGTTCTATGAATAGAATTTGTCCTGGCCGTACCTTCGCAGACACGACTATATGGCTACTAATTGCTAGCGTTCTGGCTACTATGGATATTTGCAAGACCTGTGATGAGGCTGGAGAAAAAATTACGCCTGAACCTATCTTCAAACATGGTAATGTCTGGTGCGTTGTGATGCGTCAAAACGTAGTCTGGTATACTGACTAGTAGAATGCGTGCCAAGCCATCCCGTGCCTTTCAAGTGCGATATTCGACCGCGATCTGAGGAAGCTGTGGGAGTCATTAAGCTCGCCAATGCCGAAGGTTCATCATAGCTCTACTGCGCCGAGTATTATGGATTTACGAATATATGGTGTAATGACCTGACTAATTTGACGAAACGCTCCCCTTTCCCTCAGGCTGATATCAGCGGGTCAAGCTGAACTGGACCGGGCTCAGCATGCTATGTGGTTACCTGCGACAATTAATTACATGCTACATGAATTCTTGTGTCGGTTATTTGACGTCTCATCGACGTCTCATTAGATTGGGAGCGGGCATTCTGTAGAGTATGACTTGCACTAGCTCGCTGTCATTGACGCTACTCATAGACAGCGAAGCTTTCACTGTCTCAACGAAGGGTCTCGCGTGAATGAACAAATTCGTTAATATTACATTGTGCAACTCGAGATGCGGCAGCTTCAACTTGACATTAGTGAGAGGAGCTAAGTCCTTTGAATGCTAGTGTCGGTCAAATAGTACAGCAAAGTGTACAAGGTGCCAGGGTATGCCAGTAAGCATTATGCATACAGTACTTGTATGAAGTACTGCAAAAAGATGGTAGCAGTTAATAAATAGGTGACGAAATAAGTCAAACCAAACCGTCAGCCGAATGAAAACAGTGCAAATGACCACATTCCCAATCAAATTCTAATCCCGGGCCGCTTCGCCGATCGCATCCCTCGCGCGGCAAGTTCCGAGACTACACTTTGAACTTGAAGCGTCTCAGATATCCACTAAGTTCATACTACCACCTGTCCTACGCAAATGATAGGAAGATGCGAAAAGTTTTCCCGGGTCTATAGCATCATACATTCTTGTGTCACCTACTAATGGGCCACTGCGATACGGAGCTGAGGGTCACATGTACAGAGGTCGTGCCGACCGCTTGTTTTGGTAAGCATATTTATTGCTCTCAGCAACCTTGACATTGACATTGAACTCATTTTCTTCTGAGGACGGTCAAAGATATATTGTGCTGTCTGTCATAAAATCAATACCCAGTACAAAGTTATGGCCTCCGTTGCCACATAAGTTTGGTCTCGCAGTCAGTGATTGCAAAAACCAGTCTGGATATGGGATCGCGTACCTTTCCATTGCTCATAGCGCCACACAACTACTGGGTTCTTTTCCTCCCAGCTAAGACCCCCAGTGCAACATCGATGTAGAAACGCTGAATCTACCACACACTAGTAAGTACTTTTTCTGCAGCTTCGTTGTGTTCATTATCCATTCATATCACATATAACTTGATCAGAATATTTTTCGGATTTGGTTGGTCCTCATCAACGTAGTATGCAGACTAGAGTATCCATCTATGCTACTAGAAATCACGCCGAGCCACAAGAATGCTTGTACTATGTGCGACTGCTGGCCTCTACGCTGCCGCCTTATAACGAGCATGACTTCAGGTTTTTGACAGAGCAATTCCGTCTCATCTCGTTATATTGTTAAGCTATGTCCGTCTTCCGCGATCTTGAAACTTCGTTCGCTGTCGTTTGCTTTCTATTCGTCATTGCTATTGTCTCTCGTAATTTGAGGACGGGCAGAAGAGCCTTCCTGCTACCTCCTGGTCCTATGCGGTTACCTCTATTAGGCAATGTCCATCAGCTTCCTTCGACATTTCAACATAAGACCTTCAAGCAGTGGGCTGCAAAATATGGTGTGATCAGTTCTCATTGACCTAAGCTAGTTATTTATTGACACTGTTGTTCTTGACAGGGGATATATTCTACTTGGAAGTTTTCCACAAGCCTGCAATAGTGATCAATTCTGCACAGATGGCCCGTGATTTGATGGAGAAGAGGGGCTCGAAGTATTCTGATCGGCCGAGAACTGTTATATTCACAGAACTGTAATTGAGTGGCCTCATCTCTAGAAGCTAGCTTCTGATTCTAACTTATTACAGAATGGGTCTTGAGCATACTGCGACACTCCTTCATTATGGTGATCGGTGGCGTCTGCATCGTAAATGGCTCCAGACTGCGTTCCATGCGCAGACTACGCAACGGGATTACCAGCTACTCCAACAGAGAAGTGTTCAACGTTTATTATCCACGCTGTTAGATTCACCAGGAAACTTCAATGCGCATATAAAGAAGTATATCCGGGAAATTTTGTTGGCAGTTAATATACTCATCCTTTTCATCAGGTTTGCTGGTGCCATTATGATGGAGGTCACATACGGACACCGCGTGGTACCGGGTGTAGATGATGGATTCATCGAATGGGCCGATGATGTCATTACCCGTATTTTTGAAACTGGGTCTCCAGGTGCAAGCCTCATCGACTTCTTCCCTATCTGTAAGCGATTTCGCATATTTCACAAATGAATCTGATACGGACGCTAACGCGCTTCTCATCACAGTGAAGTACATACCAGGGTGGGTGCCGTGGGCAGAGGTTCAGCGAAAAGCATCTCGTATGCGACCTGAGATTCAGCAATTGCATGATGTTCCATACGAAAGGGTGAAGAATGCCATGGTGCGTTGGATGCCTTCAAAGCCTTCTCAGAGGCGTTGACCCAGTTTCAGAATGCTGGATCAGCCCGAACATCGTTCCTCGCGTCTCTCATTGACAAGGTCTCAGTGGATGGTGAAATGACCGAAGACGACATGCTTAATTTGAAAGGTGTTGCGGGCGTGGTCTACCTAGGTGAGACGTCTCACCGGGATCTTATTGAAGTATATTGAAACATTTTGGCCTGTTTAGCTGGCGTTGATACGGTAATTTATGGGACACTGCTTCAACTCTTCTCTAATCAGACTTTGTAGACGGTCACCGTCATGCTGAATTTTGTTCTGGCCATGGTTCTACACCCGGAGGTGTACGCGAAGGCACAGGCTGAGATCGATCGAGTGGTGGGCCAATCACGACTCCCGGACTTCGATGATAGGCTTTCAATGCCCTACTTGGAGTGCGTTTTGAAGGAAGTCTATCGGTGAGTGCTCGAACGCTGATATGGATTAGTTCTCTTCATCATCGTCTATCTTCCTTGTAGCTGGGCAAGCCCCACACCCTTCGGTATGTGACCTGAATGACTTGATCATTTAAAACCAGCGATGTTAATACACTATGAAGCTGTACCCCACCGAGTCACGGATGATGATGAATATCTTGGCTATCACATCCCTGCAGGTTGTGTCATCATGCCGAATATCTGGTAGGTATCAATTCTTGCGTCCGAAGGCACTCAAAGTTGATATGCCAATCTCCCAACTAGGGCAATGACGCGGGACCCAGCTATCTACCCCGATCCAGATAGCTTCATCCCAGAACGATTCGCCAACCTGGATGCTGATACTTCATCTAAGTTGGATCCAACCAAACTCATTTTTGGCTTTGGGAGAAGGTGGATGTACCAATTTGACTTAGTACATTATACTCACAATTGTCCACCGAGTAGGATCTGTCCAGGCCGTACCTTCGCGGACTCGACTGTGTGGCTATTCATTACCAATATCATGTCCACAATGGACATATGCAAGGCGCGAGACGGATCTGGAAAAGAGATAACACCTGAACCTGTCTTCATCGATGGCAGTGTCGTGTGCGTTGTGGCACGTTGAAGCGTAGCATGAGATACTGACTGATACTTATAACTAGCCATCTAGCGCCATTCGAGTGCGACATTAGACCGCGATCCAAGAAAGCAGAGGAGATCGTTATGCTCGCTAATGCTGCTAGCCCCTTGTAACACCGCTGTGTAGAGTATTCCGGGCTCCAATAGCGTAACGGATCCATGATGTATTTGACGAAAGAAGCCGATTCTTCCGGAACATCATTCCTGATTCTTTGACATCTGGAAGTTATCATATGCGTCGTCCTGGACTAGGTATTGCGGCCGTATAGGGGGTATTCCGTGCTTCATTGGATCTTGCTAGTGTCCTCGACGTCACGGTCTCCAACAGCCACGTATATGTACCTTGTCCTATTCAGCTGCGCCTGCGCAAAGCTCTGACGACACCTTGTGCGATTATCTCATACCTCGCTATATTTCTCCCAACTTCTTTCGAACGGCGTTGAAAAGCTTGCCATGATCGCCAGTGACTCAACAACGCGTTAAGTGTTACAACGCGACCCACGTGATCGCGTTGCGACGGACATGAATGATGGCGTGGCGTATCACTGTGGCCCCTTGGGCTCAGGCTTGGGCTTGTGGCGCTGTGCGACCGCCACATTGGTCTATTGCTTTGTTCAGTTTAAGTATGGGCCACACCTACGTATACATAAACTAGGATTATCCATTCGCCATGAGACCGCTACTTAATCTCTCACATGCATTCTTGCAGATCAATCAGTGCCACTCCCTGGTAAGTTCACCTCTCAACTTCGGCCTGATTGTCTTCTTCCATCGCCATAATGACCATGGCTCCTACAGTGGACCCATGATTCCTTCAGGGCGCCGGCATATAATATTCGAGGTGTGGCCTCGCGATCCTCGAGGCCCACCTCTGCCAGGTGCCTTAGAAGCACCCCGGGGAAAACGCACTCCAAATGGTTTCAAGTGGGGTGCCGACCTTGACAGCTTCTTCTGGACACAGTTGATGCACAAGGTGCCGTGGGTTTGCGTCTGGACACGCAGCATGATCCAGGACTTCGGAGAGAATTACTACGATCTCGAGGAGATCACCGACTACGAACCCGATCCACGCGTGGTCTTCCCATTTTCGATTCTCCAACTCAAGACGAAGCCCGTCGAGGAGGATGTCGTTGAACTCGTCGAATGCCCCATCGAGGACTTGCCAAAGCTGGAGCAATTCATTCCGAAGCTATACTTTCCCGATGTTCTTATGGTGCACGATCCGGATGATTTAACTCCAGGAGAGGAACGCCACCCACGTCTGCGCACAAGAAAAACTAAGGGGAAGCAACGTGTGCCCGCCCCCATCGAATACAAGCGTGTTTGGCCAGTCTTCGAGGCGATAGATTCTCAGCACGCGGACGGCACCAAACCACTTCGCGTTGCGGAGCTGCATCTTTCTGAGGGGTTACGCATGGGCGTGGGTCACCACTCCCTCGTCTACCGCGCCCCACTAACACTCCCAGACCCTCTTACCGCGGAGTCGCCCACGGGGCAAGTGACGGTCGCTGCAAAGCTCGCGATACCCGAGACGTCTGCGCGGGAGATGCTTGAGAATGAGGCACAGATGTACGCCGCGTTCCCCCGACACCTTATGGAAGATTGGAGCGGATACAACATGGTCAGACCGCACAGATATCCTGTGCCCGCTGACGCTGTCATTCCCAAATTTTACGGGTACTACGTTCCAGTCAATCCGGAGCTAGATGGGTCTGATCACGGTCGGAGTCCGATCCTACTCGTTGAGGAGTGTGGGCAGCCCATCAGGACTGAGAAGCTCGACCCCGACGCGAAGTACGTACATATATTCATTTGATCATGCAGCTGACGTGCTAATATTCTAAATCTCCATGTAGGTCTCAGTGCTATACTCATATACTACGCCTACATGATGCGGGATTCGTCCAGAACTCGTTGTACATGCGGAACATTGTAGTCCAGCCAGGCCCTCTCGAGAATCCGCCGTCCAAACGCTCCATGAATTTCCCTGTATTTCGGATCATCGATTTCGGGCGAGGTCAGCGAAAAAAGGATGTCAAGGCAGAGTGGCCTGCCCTAGTGCGGGAGCAAGAGAAGGCGGCGAGGGAGGAACTGAACATCAATGAAGCGCTAGATATCTGAGACCTTTCTTGTGAATATTCAGGTAGGTCAATCCAATGCGTGTGTGCATCCAAAGCGCTGATCGAATATGTGGCGTAATTTTAAGTGGTCATGTATAGCGCTAGTTCGCCTTCATGTTATTTGTCATCCGCGATGTTAAAATGATGATGTGCTATTTCAAATTTCATGGGACGTATCGACTAGTGCAAGTATACAGCAATATGGGTATGAGGCTAGCCTGCCTTGTTGTCACTAATTAGCCTAGGCTTGGAACGCTGCGAACTAGGACGCAGTAAGTTGTCTCCGTCTGTTCTCTTCCTTTCGGCGACAAGCCGCTATCCTAACTTCCAAGCACTCACCGGGACCGATGTTGCTGCTTATGGTTCACGGCCACCCGATGGACGGCTCCCAATGACTTCAGCAAGTTGTCAGCGAGAGTCGAGACCTCCAGATCCCACACGATCCGTTACATGATCGTGGGCACCATGCCCGTCTAGGGTCTCTCCGTGTCCCATCTTGGCTCAGTAACGGTGCATCTGATTTTGATTCTTGTATATACCTAGATGGTGGCGGTGGCGGTGGCGCGGGCTTGAACTGGCATAATGGTCGCCGACCAGGCGCCTCCGAATGGGCAAGTCTTGTTCGTGCCTTGTTCCAGTCACCTTCGGACCTGTGTTTCGCTTACTTACATGTTGAAGACCTCAGGCAGGTGGCCTGAAGTTTGAAATTTGAAGGCTGACGATAAGGATACCGCTGATTTCAGGGGCTCGCGCGCTGTAGTCACGTTAAAGGTAGCATTAATGATTACACTGGTACGATTATTATTATCATGCGTCTTCAACGAATCACCCATTGATGAGGGGCTAACGGTTTACGCCAGACCTAGACTTGTGGCCTAATACACACTAAGTATATTGTCTCAAAATGAACCCAAGCTGAAGTTGTTACACCAAATCACTCAAGTACGGGTGTTTCAGGACATTACGTATAGTATAAAGAGATTAAGAGACATCGCAAGTAGTTGTTAAACACTTCATGCTAAGGATTAATCCAGTCAGATCCCTTTCCCCGAAGTTAGCCGTCAGCTAAGTACATTTTAAGTCAGATATTATATCATCCAGCACTGTGAGTCTCTCGATGTGATCCCCGCGGTTTCACCTCCTTGAGCAAAAATCAATGTGACCCATCCAGTAGTCATGCTCTCCATCTCACAGGAAGTTGAGATCACAAGTCGGGGCAATGTGTCTGAAGACGTCGGGACGCGATACTTGATCCCTCACAGCTTCTTCGTCAACTGTGTAATCTCCTCGCTGCGCACCAAAGCTTTGTCCGGCCACCGACCCTTGGCTAGCTCGACCGCGCACCAGGCAAGATCATGTCTTGGTGTGGAAAGTGTTGGGGCCATGAACGATAATAACGGTGCCATGATGCAATCTGTACACTGAAGGGGCAGATCGCGCGGGTTTCGTCTCACCTCCGCGTACTTGGATGATGGGAAGAAATACCCCAGACGCAAGATGTGCGCCTTCATCCCCACCGAGTTGGCGCAAAACGCCGCGAGATCTAACTCTGTTTTCCTCTATACATCACACCCAGTCAATTCGGTCAAACAATACGCACACATACAACATAGGGATATCACTGCGCACCTTCACCGTCGCCCACATGCGCCCGGGCCGCCCCATCACCTCCGAATCCGTGCCCTCCGCACTGACGAACACGAACCTGAACTCGCTCCCCGCCGCCCGCCCCATGCCGACGCCTGCCTCACACAGCGCCATGACTGCAGCCATCGCGTACGCCCAGGTCACCTCCGTGTACGCCTCTTCGCGCATGCCGAGCGCGTTGCGCCCGAGCGCCCACACACACGCATCCGCGCATCCGAGCACGCGCATGATGTCCGGCGGATACGCGAGGAAGTCCGAATGGAGGAGCACGGTCGTCTTCACGGGGGCGTTGGGCGGCAGCTCTGCCGCCGTCCAGGCGGGGAACAAGCGTCGCGTGAGCAGTGTGATGTGCGTAATGGCGGGATCAGCAAGCGCGGCGCGATAGACCGCAAGGCCGGCTGCATTGTGCGTACACACCACGGTGGGTGATGAGTGGGATCAAGTCAGCCGCACGTATGATGTAGGAGTCGTGTAAAGGCGTGTGCGCCAACGTTGTGATTGGTGTCAGCGACCATTTACACGCTTGCAGAATGGTGGGGACATACCGACGCCTGTCGCCCCGGTCAAGAGGAGATGCATGTCGTGTCGGCCTTGCGATATTTGGTTTCGACGAATATGTGCGATTATCTAGTCAGCGATGTGCGTACTCGGCCGGACGCACATGCTGTTATATGTCGCAAACGCACATTGCAATGCGTATGCGCTCGGCATCAAGTCGCAGTGGTTGCCAGCGGACCTCGCACGGACTCACTGGTATCAGCAGCGCAGTACGAGGTTCCCATGATCACTCAGAGTGCACCCGGCTGCCGCTGAGACCAGTGGGGACTTGAGCGCGTCGGGAGCCTCGAGCCTTACTAAGGCCGCTCCGAACAAGAGCCGTGTCCCGTCGACATGCGCCGGCTCTTTCCTGCCTGCGATTAGTCTATTAAGTATGGCGTGGTGTACAAGAGACCTCGAATACTCAGGAACAATAATCCTCTGAGCATCCAGCATTGAAATTGAACGCTGTACCGTCCGCTAGAAGAGGGACTTGACCGCTGAGTGACAAGGAGAGAAGAGGAAGCTGATACGTCGGACCACCAATGACCGCGCCTCCGTTACGATTAGCGACGACAGAAACCAAGGAGAGGGAGACCTGAGGGAAACGTAACTAAGTATGCCGCCCGAGTCCAGCTGATCATCATTACATTATGATCTCAGTTCACCGTAATGCTACCGCGCTGCATTTGTCTCGGCATCTTTTTGTCACTTCACAGGACCAGTCAATGCGTTACACTTTCATGCTGACGTTAACAACACTTGCAGATGAACACGAATGCATGATGCCAGACAAGTCTATTCACGAAGTCCACCACTACCACCACCAACGCTACACTCGCAGCAGCACCATAAACACATACCGAATACATAGACGGTACATCCCACAACCACAACAGCAACTACCACAACATCCCAGACAAAGGACCGTTAGAGCAGAGAAAGGGGGAATACATTACAGCCCAGAAAGCAACAGATTATCAGCGCAGCATATACACTATGTGCAGCACGAGAGGTATCATCTAACGAGCAAACAGCTATATCACAAGAAGCGCGAGAAGGAAAGCAGAGCGAACCGAGCGCGGCAATAATATAAACATATAAACACGGGCGAGTAACACGCGAGAGGGAGGTATCCACGAGCGAGCAAGACAAGAGGCTGACAGTCGACGGGAGGGGCATGGCGGCGAGCACCAGTCGTCCAGAGCATGTGCTGAGGATCCGGGGTGAGGTGAGACAAACAGAGAGCCGAGACGAGGGCAATAATAAGATAACATAGACAGAGACAAGGAGGGGGCATGCAATCGGCAAGAGCTGGGTCCCTAGAACGTGGAGAATTGGATAGGCCCAGCAGGAGAACGGGGCTCGAGCTCGCGGGGAACACGCAGTTGGAAATCTGCAAACGACAGCACATCCATGAGTCACAATGATCAATAGAAATCAACACGTCAACGCGCGTACGTACCTCCGTTTCGGAGAATAGGATTCGCCTTCCGTCGCCTGCGCTCCTCTTCCTCGCGCTCCAGCTCAATTTCATATGGAGCTTTCGTCCCCGGTAACCGATGTCCAATTAGGTTGATCGGCTGCTTGGGCTCCCAACGCCCACCTCCCGTCGCCTTGCAAATTATGCTCGCGCGGCGGAGAGGGTATGCCTGCAGCTCGCCCAGATCGCCGCTGTCCTTGTCCCCAGCGGTACTTGAGTTGGAGGAGAGCTCGCTGTCAGAAAGGTGCACGCCAATGGCCGTCTGAGATAAGGTGCGCACGGGCGAACGGAGAGGAGAGGTGGGTATACGGGGAGAGCTCGTGTGTGCACGGCGTATAGAGGGCCGCGCAATAGGAGGACAGCCATCCGGTGGCGTGCAGGGTGAGGAAGTCACAGAGGAATCGGGAGAGTCGACAAGAGCGGCTTTGAGAACCGCGATGGGCGCGACCGCGCTGACCGCGAGCGATCGCGACGTACGCACACCATGAATCTGATCCCAGCAGTGGTCGCACACACGCGTATGCAAAACTTGCGAGACGGGAGATGCGAAGTTGGTGATGGGGGTGTCGCGCGGGGGATAGAGGAAATCAAGGTTGGAGGTGTCCAGCAGTGTGGTGGCGCGCATGGAGCAGTCGCCGCAGAAGATACCGCCACACTTCCTGCAGTGCTGTGTACCGGGCATCCAAGGGGCGCAGCGATGAGCACGGAGCATGGGTCAGTGATGGAGATGTACACTCACATGTCTGCGCTCCCACACCGAGAACCTCTTACGGCAAAGGAAGATATCGCAGTGAGACGCCTGCGCGTCAGGCTATGTCATGAAAGGATGGCATCAATCACATGTTGGACAATGCAGTGGTGTATGTGGATAGCGGAAGACGAGAGGAGAACTGAAAAGGAAGCGATGCTCACCTTCCACAGACGCTTGGGAAGCAAGACAGCCAGGTGCTCGTTTGGCCGTAGAGTGGACGGGCCTGAGCATGGCGGCTCCGAAATACACGAACGGGAAAGAGAAAGACTCAATGAAGAGCTCTCAGAGGACGTGGAGGCATCGTTCTCTGATTCAACGCGTCCGAATTCATCAGCCACGTGCATAAGCGAAAACCGGAGCGGTGGACACACATACCTTGGGATGAAGCAATGCTTGCGCGCTCGTCCCTCGAGTCGAGAGTGTGTATGGACGAGGGACGAGAGGAAAGGCGGGACGCGAGCACGGAAGCAAAGTTCATGGCGGAGGAGGGGCTAGAGGGATGCGATGGCAGGGGATCGCCTGGGGCGAAGCGAGTGGTCGGCCGGGGGACTTAAGTATGGGACGGGACGATGCGCGTGGGCCCGGTGGCGATTTGATAACATTAAGCTTTCGCGGCGATATCGCATCTTCCCGGCATCTCGGAATTATTATTCTGCACTTGTCTGACAGATTTGCCGTATCTCCTCGTTTCCCGCGCTCAGTTATCCCTGTGCCGCGTGGCTGCTCGTGGCTGCAATAGGCTAGATGTTCCGGCATCCATCATATGGCCACAGCCGGATGCCTCTCAGGCCCTGCAGTACGCTCCTCGTCAATGTGTGGTCACCTTCGGGTCTTCTGTTGTCGAGCAAGGCCCGCCCGAACAGCGAAGCCAACCGCGGAGGCGCGGTGGTGACATTGAGCGCCACAGCGCCCCCGCCAGCATGTGGCCCGGGTCGGCAAAGGAAACTCGGTAGGACGTGCCCTCCTTAGCCGAACTGTGCAGACGGAATCTGGGTTTCATTCCCGCGTGCTTTCGTGTGTCCGTCGGTTTGGTTCGCTGGAAACCCCAGGGCCCTGGCTGGTTTCACGTCACGGCCAGTGAGGTAACTCTCCCTCTCGTCGCGTCGTCACGGCACCATCCTGCTAGCCCATAAGAGTCGTTCTCCGGGCTCTGTCTATACATGCCTCGAGTCCTGCGCGTCTGAGACTAGACGGTGAGCATCGTCTGGAGAGCAGAGCAAGGAATCGCCACTTCCAGAATTACCTGAGGCACCGCTCAGAACGACAAGGATTGCCCTTCCCTCTGAGAGCTCGTAGCACGCCGTCGTGACCGCAGATCATCGCAGCGATGTTCGTTGGACTGAATCCAAGACACTGAGGGATCCAACGACGTCCATGTGTCCTGTTCACGGCTAGCGGATCCCTGCTCTCCCCCGGGCCGCCAATTCGGAATTCGAGCTTTGGTCTCAGGCTGTAACACGGCTCAGGCTGTTGTGCTCACGTCGAGCACGGTCCCGACGGCACTGCCACTGCGTGTAACACAAGCTGGTTCGAGTCGCCCACCCTGTGCCCATAGACCCAACCGACCTTGCAAGTGCGACGCGGGATCGTGGCCTCGCTGCGCAACGCCCAAAATTGAAAGACATCTAGCCATAAGCAACCCAACGATTAGTTTTGGGCGGCGTCGGGACCCCATCGGGCAATGACCTGTCGGTATGTCGGGGCGGCTGCGGCCGGAGGACATACAGAGCGGGCCGCCGCCTCGATGGCCACCCATGCGCGCCTCTCTCGATTCGGTTCCTGAGCTTGTCCCGATCGAGTGTGCCACCCCATGCGTCTCTGAAATCTGAGGCACTGCTGACTCTGATCAACTCAACTACCAAACGCGTTGGATCCGTCGCAGTCTGCCCGGCCGCCTCTCGGTCTCTGGAACTGCCACGTTGCTCTGCTTCAAAGTGCTTTGTCCACTGGTCAGTGTGCTCAATGCTGTGTTCATCAAAGCCCCGCCGCAAATCACCTTGACGTCCTCGCCTGGAAGAGTCGGGCAACAGCGAACATAACTCATATATGCTTACGATGCGTGTTGCCCTAATTTCAGCCGTAAGCATCGCCCATAGCACCAAAGTAGCCATATCCAGTGATCGACGGCACATACCGTTGCTCTACTTACGGTCCAACCTTTCGCCCTCCCGCGCCACTCGCCCCCTTCCAGACACCAGCCGCTCATACCCAACGGCACAGCGCCTACGCATGGCACTCCTATTGGCTAAGCCCAGCTCCAAACCTCCGATGTAGCACGGACTCGCACGCGACACCAGCGCGCACTAGCGGAGCGCGCGTACGTATAGTCGGATGCCTATACGTACGCGGACCCTAGGGCTGGCATCCCTAACGCGTCGCGCCCTCATCCCTTTCTCGCCGGCAGCGTCGCCCTCAGCGCCCAAGCCAAGCTCTCTCAATTACAGCCAACACCATCCCGCGCTCCACCTCGCTCATCGCGAAGCGCGGGCGCCTCGCAGCGACGCCTCCACAGGGCCCCGCCCTTGATTTTGCTGCACCCGAGTTCTTCTCTGCCTCTGTCAGCACGTCTCCATGGCTCTGCGGAGCAGCGACCTCATGGCGGCCCGCCGCTGTCGCTGTCCGCGCCGCACTACCAGGGGTTTTGGTCCGCCGCAGTACGTCCGAAAAAGTTGCAAACACTAGGTCTTCCAACAGAACGTCTTGTTCCCGCGGGGGCGCCGCCCGGGGTTCGGCTGGCAGCACGAGGTGTAGGGTGTGGCAGAGATACCAAAGCGTATCCTTCCTAATGAGCTGCTCTAGGCGCTCGGAGGGCCCTCGCCCGCGGCGAGCAATACCGGATGCGGTGGATGCGTTCTCGCCGGAACCCTCAGTCCCTGATGTAGCCGCAGCCTCCCTGTCCGGGTACAGTGCTTGCAGCTGCCGAGCGGCCTCCAGAGCCAGTACACTTTTGGCAATCGTGCAGCTGGCTGCAGCGAGCGTTCCTCCTGTCGTGAGTGTGTCCAGGGTCGACACGATCCGCTCTATAGCGGCGAAAACGTCAGGACGGAGGTCAGTTTCGGTAGCTCGTTTGTGTGCTTGGGGTTTGGGCAGCTGTCTGCTTGCTTTTCCGCTGTCAGAGAATAGAGCCGTAATATATCTTTTTGAGAGAGGCGCAAATGCGCAAATGAGGGGCACAAGGATCAACTCTGTCATGCGTTCAAGGACACTTTCGCGAGAAAGATGTCCCCCAGTCTTGGTCTTTTCTCTGCGATCAGATTTCGCCAGTAGTGGAATAGCCGTCGTAAGCAGACGGTGTGATAGCATCGCCAATGCAGCCAGAGTGTCTGTCGAAGCAGAGACCGTAGGGTGAGGGGGAAGCAAAGTCTCAACCACACTGTTTAGCGCGTCGATGGCGCGAGTTACCATACCCACAAAATATCGATCCATCTCTGCACTCTGCCTAGCTGACCGAACAGTTACGAATATGTCCAAGGCCTGGAAGGCAGATAGCACGTGTTTGTTTGATGATATCAGAGGAATATTAAGTGCTATAAGATTGCAGATGGCAATTTCAGAGATGAAGCAGATTGGTGAAGCAGTGATGTATCATGGATGAGATTCGGAGTATGGAGAAAATGATTAGTACCACATCGCTGCAGCGGATGTATGGCAAAAATAATATTTGCTAATGTCCGGGGCAAGACGAAAAGTGATAAGGGAAAACGTACTCGTGTGCTTATCTCCCAAAATGGCCTTCAGCTCGGAAGTCGGGCGCGTAGCGACGGAGGCTGCGGGCAGGTCGACTTGCACATTCGCCTTTTTCTTTTGCCTTTTCTTTCCGCTATTTGCAGTAGCCGACTCGCCAGAAGGCTGTGATGGGGGACGAGCATCCCGGAGAGATAGCAATTCTTGCTGCGGATCAACCATATGCACCATAGAAAAATAAGATTTGGTAACACACCTATATGCTCGCTCTCGTATTTCAACTGCAATGCCTGTAAATCTTTTTCTAGCGCCAACGCGCGCGCGCGCCACTCATTTTGCGCCTCAGCGGCAGCAGCGGGGAACTTGGCCCGAAGATCGAGCACGTAGGCTGCAGCATATAGCGGGAACAGTTTTATGAACACATGCTTAACATACCTTGGAGGGACTGGTCTTTTGGCTTGAAGCGTAACGCGGTTATTGCCTGTGAATAAAGTGCATATAGTCAGGTTTGCTTGACAATGTGTGCGTAAGAAGTCTCAGAACAATTGTAATGCGCAGGTGTTGAGCTGCATCATGACCAGGTTTGTTGTTGTGGGACATTGAGAGCGGCTCAAAGGAGGTATAAACGAAAGTGAGAAGTTCGAGTCAAAAAAGTTGGACGCCAACGCCCAAGTGGCGCCCGTCGGCCAAAAACGCGTCTGTCACAATTCCGTCACGTCGCGTCGCGTAGCCGCTGACAGATGAGTGAAGGGATCTCCTCGCGTCCTCTTCACTTTTCTCCAACTGTGCCCACGCGGCGACGACTCTCATCCTAACACCAAACTCACGGGACAAAGTGGGAAGGGGGATATCGCTTATACAGAGCGCGTACAACAACACTACAACAATTATATGATGGTTCGTGTTACTACCCTTTTCGATACTAACTGTAAACTGACTACTACTTCACAATATTGATATGCTACAGCCCTCACAAATCATTAACCAAAACAACGTAAGATTCTTTCAAAAGAAGATAAATCAGGCTAAAGCGAGAAATGAAGCGTCTCGGAGGTATGTCATATCGCTCTATCTTGGTCAGAATGGTGGGGGCCGAACCAGGTCGGACAGACTTTCCTCGCGCGACAAGCCCTTGCTATGCTCGATGTCTGCCCCTTTCTTTCCGGGTGATTCCTCAAGCATGCTCTTCAAGGCACCAGTGAACGAAGACTGCGACGCCAGCGGTGAACCAAAAGATCCCGACTTGCTGGCGAGTGACAATAGGGATCTTGGTCCAGATCGACTGATAGGTGTATCGTCAGATGTATAGATATTACGGAAGGGACTGCGCCCAGGGTCACCGTTGATCAGCGACCATGGAATACTGATGCCACGCCAGGAGCTCAAGGAATCGCTAGATGACAATTTGGCCGTCTGCGCCTCTGCCCATCTAGATCTCGAACTATGAGAGGGCGTTGTGGTAGGATCAAAAGGAGAATCGAATGATGCATTAACTCCAGGCTGACCAGGTGTGGTGAAGATGCGTTTGCCCCTAGTGTGGGAGTCAGGCGTGGAAGGCCCCTCTTGACTCGAATCCCATGACGATAATGATGAATGTGTTTGCGTCAGGTCTCTGCCACGATTTGGGGTCTTGGGAGTGCGAGTGAAGCTCCATGGTGTGGAGGGAGACTGCTGCATTTGGTAGAAGAGCGGGTCGCGTTTGCCGTTCACAGGCAATTGGTAATCTGTCGGTACGAAGGTGGGCTCGGACAGAGGATCTGATGAAGGGATTACACCTAAGCAGTCAGGACAGAACCAAGGATCTTCTTCAGCACCTAACTCCGACGTGTCTACCACGCCGACACAACCAAAGTGGTACCATGACCTGCATTCGTCGCATTGGACTAACGAACCACCGTCGTCCTCGCGCCCACACACGCACAGCACTCCGCCATCGAGGCTATCTTCGTCATCGTCGATTCGCCTTCTACTTCGTCTCCTGCGGAAGGCCAGCGCTCTTACGGATCGTTTCGATAATAAAGCAGCCCGCGCGTCAGCAGGATCGCTCGGAACATACATATTGTTCAATTCTGATGGTCTACCAAGTGGATTTGCCTTCAAAGGAACCATCTTCCCGCGACCTCGCGGCCGCGGTACGACTTCTTCGTCTTCCAAGTACACTGCAGGACGCAATACCTGGTCTTCAGCAGATTCATCTTCATCACTGCCACCGTCACTGACGCGATCAAGGTAACGTTCAATCCGTTTGAGCCGCTCTTCTTTTTCCGCACGTGTATCTTCTGTACGCTCCTGTGAGCGCACACACCACGGAAAAACAGTATCCAACCAGTTCGGCCCTTGCAATTCCGTATCGTCCGGAAGCGGATCACCATGGCGCTTGGATCCTGCGCCATGACTTCCACCGCGCTTTTTGCGTCGATTGTAAGTACGCTTCTTCTGCGGTGTTACGAAAGGCGGAGGTTCCTCGGCAGATGCATACAAAACTATGCGCCCCATCTCTTCGATTTCTCTTGGATGAAGCTTCGCCGGAGGTTGCATGGACTCTGGACAATCTTCGAAGGCCGCTAAACGCTTACGCTTACGGACCTCCTTCTCGCTGGGAGCCCGATCAGCATCAGCATCCGGTATAAGTTGGCCGGGACTTGCTTGCCCGGGTGTCACTTGCTGTAACCACTGTAAAGCCTGATGAGACAGAATGTCCTTCCCTTTATTCACTGGTGTCTGCGGTTCGGCACTTTGAGTAGAACCGTAGCCTGGATAACCCCCCGCTAAAAGACTTTGCTCAAAAGTCTCATCCGACGTCTCTTGGAATAGCTGCAGTCGTCGACCCTTGGCAGGACTCTCAGTCACCCCTAAACCAGGTGGTCCATTGCCCTGATCTCCTTCGCCCCGAGCTAGATCTGTGGCGGGGTCTCCAGTTGATCGCGGGCGTCTCTCCCGCACGAGGTAGTCAGGCCTCCTGGCTTCCATCTCCTGCAGACGCGCTGCATTGTCTGCAGCCATCTGCAAACGAATGCGCTCAATTTCACCCCCTGCTGCCCGCTTCGGAATTGGTACCGAAAGCGGAGGAGGCGATTTGGGCAATGAGAATAAATCGTCTGCAAGAGGCAGTTGGGGTGACGCTCGAATGTCAGGGATCATCGCATAGGATCGGGCAATGCTCCTCGCTTTCGACGAAGGGCGTTCACCTAGGGATGATCGTTCAACGAATGGCGACGATAGTCTGCTAGACGACGGAGTGACATGATGTGAGAAGGGAGACGAGAGCAGAAGGGGACCAGATGCAGATTGTCTGCCCATATCAGGTCTTATCCTATCCATGAGTTAAGCACGTGTCTATTTACAAGTTCGGACGTCCCACGTACTCGGCTTTGCTGCTAGGACGAGGCGTGACAGGCACCGGAGACCCTTCCCTGAAAGCCTCTTAGATTCAACAGAGGGTCGATCTACGAATTCACTTACGCAGCGGATAATGATCCCTGTGATCTCATTGTCCTTCCCGGGTATAACGGACTACAAAGCGGGCATTTGCGGTCAACTCAAGTGAAGTTGTAAGCTTGTGCGAACCTCGATTCTGGAGTCAAAAATGGCTGGGAAGCTTCCGCACGCTCTCCTGCACTAGAATTTGTGCTAATTTAGACAAGAACAGCATAAAAATACCACGAACTTACGTCGGTGGGTAGTGAAAGGTATGGTGTGAGGGAGGCTGTGAGTGGTAGGTGCTGCGACGCAGATTGGCTAAGGGGAGATTATAGATTGGGAAAATGACGCACTTCGATGGCAACGGAGACTCAACATAGGGTATCGCAGAGCCATATGACTCAACATTACTCGGACTATTCACAACAAATAAGAATTCAGCACCCGAGAAAGCAAAAAGTAAAGATGCATCCCAAGTAACATAGAGTTGGAATTCATAGAAAACCATGCTGAACCGATAAACTGAGATTGCGATATACATACCTCTCAGGAGTTGGTAGATGAATGCTGGTATTAACGCCAAATGCCGATAACGCCCCTCGAGGTGGCGACCGACTATCACCCATGCATTTAGATGCGTATAAAATAGACGAACTCTGAACGAAGACGAACCTATTCCTTGGTGTCATTTGCTCGGCTGCCCCCTGCGTCCGTCTCTTCTCAACAAGTGCGCTATGAGCGCTTGACTGCGAGAAAGATCCTTGAGGCGTATTCAGAGACGAATCTATAGTCATCGTGTTTGGCCCCCAAGGAATGGATTCCATTTCGTAATCATTGGCGGAAGACATGACAGGTGAACAAAGAAGTGGCCAGTGAAGATGTGAATTCAGGTCGTCTGAGTTGAAGATGGAAATGGCGAGCACCGCCAATCAGACAGTATATCGACAGTCGTGCTGCGTGGAGATAGAAAGAAAGACGGCAAGGTTCAAGGTATCGCTGAAGCTCTGAAGGCAAGAGGAGAGAGCTATTGAACAGGCGGCCTTAGGTAATGAGGCCGCGGGCGTTGAATTCCGCTGCGCTCACGATTTGACTTTGCTCAGATCGCATCAAACGCAGTTCACCCTAACTACAATTTAATTCTCGACCCTGACGGCGAACTCTGCAACGTAGCCTTCGGAACGCTGCCTGAAAATTTACGCTCAACCTAGGCGATGAACCGATGACTATCCGAGCTCTTGAATTTTTTTCTGGCATAGGTTCGATTTCTCGGTCACTCGACGACTGCTGAATTCAACGCAAAATTTGAATCTGAGCATCTGTCTGTTAGGCGGCCTCCATCGTGCTCTGCTGCGAAGTAAGGTCGACGCCGTGGTCGTAGGGGCATTTGACTGGGATCAATGTGCCTGTAGGGTATATGACGCCAACCATGGTGCTGGAATTGTGCAAAAGGTTGTCCACACTTACGCTGAATCGCGATGCGTGACTTACTTACATCTGCATAGGTAGATATCTCCATGCTGAATGCAGCAAATTTGGCCACCTACCGGGCAGAACTTTGGCTCCTCTCGCCCTCGTGCCAACCGTATACAGTTCTTAATCCATTGGCTAAAGGAGCGGCAGACCCACGCGCGAAGTCTTTCATCCACCTTATAGAGGATGTTCTCCCAGAAATGGTCAGAGACAGTACACATCCTAAATACATGCTAGTAGAAAATGTTGCTGGATTTGAGGTGCTTGATAAGCCCTGCTCTCGCCTTCGTCATTCTGAACTGTCTTATTGCGAAGCGTTCCAGCACCCGGTTACGGCTCCTGAAAACGTTGGATAGTCTCGGCTACGGAGTTCTGGAGCTTCTCTTGACACCTCTGCAGTTTGGCATCCCAAATTCCCGCCTACGATATTATCTTCTTGCCAAGGCTCAACCCATGCCATTTCCTGGAACTATCGCTTCTGGCCTTAGACTATGGAGACATATTCCTGGACATGGTCAAGATTGGATCGATCCTAGAATGTATATTGACCACAATGATAACGAGATGATCGCTGATGAAATCCGTGATTACTTGGATGAGGATGTTCCCGAGAGACACAGCACTCATCCTAACGCTATCCCTGATCAGACCCTACAAAAGTGGGGTCGGCTCTTTGACATTATTCTTCCCTCAGCTAGACGAAGCTGTTGTTTCACTCGAGGTATATTTGTCATGCTTTTATTGTGAAGTTGAGTTGATCGCTTTCATATAAAGGGTACGTGAGGATGGCAGAGCGCTCTGGATCAGTGTTGCAAATGAATGAAGAGCTCGATGTATGTCTTGTGTTTATGTGGTTGACCCTATCGACTCACCCACATTACCTGTCTGGCACGTAGACTACGAGCACCTTTGACCGTTTCCTTGAAGCACAAAAGAGCGGCCGAGAGGCTGCCGTGCGCGTTCTGGACCCCTTGAGGCTGCGCTATTTCTCGCCTACGGAGCTGCTCCGAATATTCCACTTTCTTCCAACGGCTAAGACAGAGGCGCAGGAGAGCTTCCAATGGCCAGCTGACTTGTCAGTGAAGACGCAGTATAGGTTGATTGGTAATAGTGTGAACGTGCAGGTGGTAGCTGAGCTAATTCGTTATCTCTTCGAGGTTGAAGGCCGTCCTACCGAGGAATCCGACAGCATCCTTCTCAAGCGAATGGCCCACGACAGTGGAACGTTGACATGATTGTAGCATCGTTTTCTAGTATCGTAGTAATTTTGTAGCTAATTCAGCATTACAAATTTACAACACGTGGCCTATTTCAATGATTTCATGGATGAACGAACGTTAACATGGGCGAGCAGTGGCATGCGTTCGTTTACAAATTACTCAGCCGGGGGCATGCGTGACTGTCCCGGCAGGCTCCGAGGGGTCATAACTCCTGGGCAGACGTGGATCCGACTTGTCTTCGTCCACATCGCTCGTCTCTGAAATTTGCGCTCGTCGTCACTCGTCGTGTATTCCACAATTTCTCCCAACGCTCTTCCACTAGTCGATATCTTCTGTGCCAACAGGGGATACATGCTTCGACCTCCAATCAGTATATCGAGACATAAAAGACTGTTACCTAATCCACTATTCAAGACTGTGAGTAATTCTGCATTTGCTAGTTGGAGGTCTGATCGTAAATGCCGTGTTATAGCGTTAAGCATCATTCAACATGGCTGCTGGTGTTGTCAACATTCGTCGCGATGTCGACGACAAGTTCTACCGTTACCGGTCTGTGTTTTTCTAATGGACTCTATTTTTGCACCCCTACTGACTCCGTAACAGCATGCCCCTTCTCTTGACTAAGATCGAGGGCAAGGGCAATGGTATAAAAACGGTTGTTCCGAACATGGCCGATGTCGCCCGGGCGCTGAGCCGCCCGCCCACCTATCCCACGAAATTCTTTGGCTGCGAGCTCGGCGCTCAGACTTCGTTCGACGAGAAGAACGATCGTTACATTGTCAACGGTGCTCATGATGCGACGAAGCTGCGTGAACTTCTCGACGCTTTCATCGACAAGTTCGTACTGTGCAAATCGTGCAAAAACCCCGAGACGGATCTTATCATTACCAAGAGTGATGATATTATTCGTGACTGCAAGGCATGCGGCGAACGGACGGGAGTCGACATGCGGCATAAGCTCACAACGTTCATATTGAAGAATCCGCCGAAGAATCCCAAGAAAAGCAAGTCCAAGAAGGCTACCGCAGATCATAGCCCTAGCCCTGGTGCCCATGGACATGAGAATGGTGATGCTGAAGCGGATGCGGGTGGTGATAGTGACGACGAGCTCACTAAGCGCATCAAGGCTGAGGCGGCGGAGCTCAACCCCGACGCAGTAACAATCACTCATGAGGATTGGTCTGTTGATACGTCCGCTGAGGCCGTGAAGGCCCGGGTCAAGGCTGTGGAGTCCAGTTTGGCCGCCGTGTCTTTGAATGGTGGCGGTGATGACGACAGTGACGAGGACTTCGACAGTCCGTACTCGCAGTTAGGTCGATGGGTCGGTGAGAACCGTGATGTTGGTCCTGTTGAAGTTTATAAGAAGGTCGAGGAGTTGAGTATCTCAAAGAAGCATAAGACCGTGCAAGTGCTCGTGCAGGCTCTCTTCACTGCCGACGTCCTCAAAGAGGTCCCCAAGTATGCTCCACTATTTGTCAAGGTAAGACTTTCAACCGATACTCTTGTAGCTTTGTGCTGACTTCGGACGTAGATGGTAACTTCTGAGAAGCATCAGAAGTCGCTTTTAGGTGGTATTGAGCGTCTCGTCGGCGTCATTCATCCCGATCTCGTTCTCGCTACCCCCAAGATTTTAATGGAATTTTATCAAGTCGATGTGCTGGATGAGGATGTCGTCAAGCAGTGGGGTACGCACGTCAGTAAGAAGTATGTTGATAAGGAGACGAGCAAGAAGGTGCGCAAAGCTAGCGAGCCATTCTTAAAGGTTGGTATTCCTACCTGTCGTTCATGGATGACTAAATCTAACTAACGTGTGATTGTAGTGGCTCGATGAGGCAGAAGACAGTGACGAGGATGATGATGAGTGATGCTGTGTCTTAGGACAGGTATCTTATGGCGTTGCCCGACTTTGTCATCCCCACTCCGTCCATTGTGTCTGGTCGGCTTGCACTATTTGTATCATTTATGTGAATCCTACCAGTATTGGATAGCATCCTTTGATTTCTCGAATTTCATGAATTGGCATTCATGTTTGTCTTGTCGTGCAAGCTGGTGTGTCGTCTTTCGTTCCGTAGTCCAGCCCGTCGCTGGCTGAGGTAAGCCCAAGCTTGTGTGCGTGTATGTATACCCTGGAGAAGTATTCCATGGTGTGCGAACGTTATCACATCTGCATACTCCTACAGTATGCCTTCCCTCCCGGCCTACGCATATCCGAAGTCCCTTGCTTCGTCATTCTCAGCTGCTCGCCCGCCCACGTCCCAAACCTTCGGGCGCGACGTTCCACGTTGCCGTCGAAAATATTCCTAGATCACTGCGTCGTACAAAAGCATTGTTCGCTCGCCTTCTCCCCTTCGTGTTGAGATTTGCTCTTCACACGATTGTGCTACCCGTTGTACTCCCATTCTGTGCGCCTTTCTCACCCCTCGTGCCGATCGTCGCGTCTTCGCTGTGAGGCTCGCCTGACTGACCTACTGAGCTAGAGCGGGCGCCACGCGCAGCGCTGAGGGAGACGCCGTTCTGAAGCGGTACGTTCGGGGATTCCTCGTCGTTCATAGTGTCTTGGTTGGGCGTAAGTCTCCAATAGCGGTTCCTTGTCGGTGCAGATTCAATGTCAGAAACCGAGAATACATGGTGGAACACACGACTCACTGTTTGAAGATTATGTAAAAACCCGCACCGAGTAAGGAGCCGAGTGTATCACCCACCCAGTACTGTCAACGATTCCAAATCAGGTTGTGGACACGGAGAGATATGCAAAAGATTATACGCACCACCCACTGGGAACTAAATGGGAAGCCGGTGACGACGGCAGGACCAAATGCGCGTGCAACATTCATGCCTGCTCCAGTATATATCACAGCCCAGCTAAACAGGAGAAATGACGTCACAAAATCTTTCATGCGTATTGAAAAGCTTGATACTTACAGGTGACATGCAAAAAGAGTGAGGCCAATTCCGACCTGAATGTATCCCGATGAGTGTCAGCATGTGCGACTCTAGCCACACTTACAGGTGCAAACGGCGTTGCTTGATGTTTCTCCGCTGCTAGCATGAGCACGGCAATAACTAGCGCGGCGGTGATGAACATTTCTATGAACACTCCCTGTGCAGAATTGACTCCTGTGTGGAGGAAGGTACTGCACAATGATAAGTTTTAGAGGGAATCTAAAGGATATAAGATACTCACTTGTAAGCCAGTGGCCCCGGTGTCAGCGCGAACACGAGAGCGGCGGCGGTGATTCCGCCGACCAACTGGGCTATACTGTATAGTGCGAATCGGAATGGTTGGACGACACCTGTGAGGAGGAGCGCGAGGCCGACATTTGGGTTGAACACCCCGCCCGTTGCTCTAAAAAAGATCCACACGGATACGAGCAGACTGAGACCCATAGCGACCGCGATGTACATGATACGGGTGACATCAGTCGTCGACCCACCGGAAGACTCTTGTGCTGCTTGAATACCGCCGAACGCGAGGAGAAGAAAGAATGTGGTTCCGACGTATTCCAAGCATGCAGCTTTGAAGTCGTCATACCAGTTATCGAATAGCGAACCCATGCGCTTCATGGCTATCATCCGTGCGTCGAGGTAACTTATAACGCTGGGCCAGAGTCGTTGAGAAAGGGCAGAACACAGTTCGCAGGTCGAGAGGTATCAATTTGGGTTTATCATTTGTGGTGAGATGTGACAGCGGAATAGGGATGTGGCGTAGGTGTCATTGAGTACCTTGGCATCGTACAGGACATCCGCCCGGGCATAGGTGTGGATCCGGACTCATATCCTCCACGTCGACGTAGCCCGCGCAACGCACACGTCATCGATGTAAACCCTATAGGTTGCGAATCCAAGAGCTCCTGAACTCCGTACATAGATTCCAATGTTACGCAATGTGCGCAAGGTCGGCCCCTGAAGCCTGAGCGCGAGCTACTGGTATTCACGCAGGACAATGCGGTATCGCAAACTTGGTGTTGTAGCAGCACCCGCCTCAACACTGTCATTTTTCTCTGGTCTGGTAAAGACTCGGGCTGATCTAGAATAAGTAACATACTTACGTGATAATTTGAATATCCGGCTTAGACTCACGGGCATACGGATCCATGTACTAGGATTGTTTTATCAGTTTGATCACCCCGATATCTATGTTTTAGGGCGAACGCAAATAGAATATTGTGTTTAGAGTACGCGCCTTTATTGAGACCAACTTTTCGCCGGCGCAAAAACTCATATTCTGGTGGGGAGAAAGCGATAGGTGATCATAAATGCTGATTTCCGGCACTAACCGTGAAGCCACAGTCCTTGTTTCTTATTCTCGAGCTTTGCGTGGTAAATAAGACACCCAGCATAAGCTCTATTGTCCCCTGCTTTTGCTTCAGCATCTCAACGCGATGTTATACGTATGTAACCTAGTACACCTCATCCACGCTCATCAGTAATGTTCACCCTGCATGATGTCGATTGCAAGAGACATTATATTTTACGTACCAGTCGTACTAATAGTAGATTCACTAAGCTGATCAAGAGATCTGGCAATGTCATCAGTCATCAAGAACCCATTTATTCTCCTTTACGAGCTTCTCCCGCTCAAGAAGATACTTCCCTGGTAAACTGACTGAGGTTAAGAACAAATAAAAAGCACATCCTTCTTACCTTCCTTATATTTTTGCGAATGATCTGAGGCCTTATAGTAGTACCAGCCTAAGCGATCACCGCAGCCAACGCAAAAGACGTCGGCGACAGTATGTACTCCAGTACTAGTCAAATCATACGCCTGAGATAGCTTGATACTGGTAAAATGAAAACAAAACACACAGGAGAGCGCGATCCTCTCTCTTTCCTTTCCGTATATTCACCGCAGAATGCATTAAGCTGAATACCATGAAATGAGCGTGGATCGATTGTCAAGTTGATGCACTCACTAGCCTCGACCATCCCTGCCGGAGAATGCTTTGCTGATAAGTTCATCCTGCAGAGCCTAAAAGGTGTGTTTTAGTTCATTTAATCGATATATCTGCAGCTGCTAAACAAACAATGACTACAGAACAATGGGCGCAAGAAAAAATTGCGCGGTCGTGAAATGAATCGACGGGCCCAGGTGCTTTTGCATCGTCCGACATGGGGAAGATAATCCTGCAGCACAGACAATGAACAAAATGATACGATAGCCTCAGACAGATCAAGAACAGAGCATTATTCAAGACGCGTGGCTTGAATTGGATGAGAATGGAAAATCCTAGGGAAAACCACCGCTGCAGCTTACAAGCCGCCAACAGCCGAGATCGATCTTGTCTGGTTGGCGTCTATCTGGACGTTCTTGCTACATTTTTAGTTCCCTCAGAGCCTTTAGACAAACCATCGAGTAACATCAAATGAACGCCTCCTCTGAGGATATTGCAGAGGAAATTCGGACTGCGCTTCCTGGAACAGAAGAAATAGTTGTCCAATATGTCTCTGGCTACTTGCTGGACCTGGACGATGCTGCGGAAGATGAGGATGTATTGCAAGTAACCCGAAATATTCTCGAATCTGCTATACCTTCGTCCTCTCGCAGCGGGCAGAATGGACAGCTAGAGAAGATCATGGCGTCGCTTGGGCGCATTCTCGCGGACCCGCTTAGCAAACGAGAGGAAAGGAATCGCGCAGGAAACCACAATGGCTTGGTCAGGCTAGATAAGGTGATGGATATGAGCAAGACGGGAGTTATGAGCAATACCATTGCGTTCACTGAAGGTGTTGACTTAGAGAGTATAAACAAGGGAAAGTGAGTCTGGGTTTTAGTTCGTGTTTAACGGGCCTTGACCACTCGTCAAGAGCGTCTCGGGTTGACGTGAAGAAGCTGGAGAAACAAGAAGCTAAGCTAAAAGTACGCCCTATACTGTAGGACGGTGCTCGGGATGATGTTGAATTGTATCCTATAGGCCAAAATCGAGAAGCGTTCAAAACGGACCCTGTACGAGGGCTCTAAGCTGCTCGATCAACACCGTAAACAGGTGCGCTCTGTTGGATA